ACTTCCGCGCGTTGTCTGGTATCCAGTTCAATGCCTACACATACAACCTGGGTATACCGCAAGTGCACATGATGGATGATCTGCAAATGGAATGGTACAACAACACCTGTTCGGCGGGTATACTACGGATAGGACACAGCTAGTGTGGATCTAGGGTGTGGCGAGGTTGAAGTCATTTCATCGGGAATATGATATGTTGTTGGAGATGGCGATGATAAGAGTAGCATAGTATATCCTGGTGAGCAGTATATCTAGACGAGAGTTGCATACAGTTAGTCCACATCAAATGCGCCACTCTTCCTGCAGATGACCGTGATGAAGCCTCAGGTGACGGCTAGACCGTCGCGCTGCAATGAGGCGTGAGCTCTCCATCCGCGTCGATTGGCCGTGCACGGCAATCGTCGTCCGAGATGTGTTCCAAGGTGTTTCAGACGGGGGGTGCCATGTGAGCTGGAGGGGAGTCGAAGACGCGTCGGCAGCCAGCCACGGAAGGAACGACGCGTAGCGTGGGTGCAAGCTCTCCACGGCGACTTCCCTCGTCGACGTCCAGGGTCCTGTTATGGCGTCACGCGGCGCCGTCGGATTTCCATGTCACGCGCGAACCGCTGAGGCTGCAGCTCCACGCGGTGCGCGCATATCGATATAGCCGGCGTATCATTCTCCAGCATAGCTTTGAATTTCCTTTTTCTTCCTTCTCCAGACCTCGCTGCAGCTCTCATTCGTCTTCCCGTCTTCGATTGTCGCATGTCCTGTTCCCGCCTCAAGCGACGTGCCGCATCTGCCTTTACCGCGTAGATACTAGCGTTTGCGCGGCAAGCTTGACCTCTTCACGGGTGCAGGTGATAGCAGTCTCTTTCTCGGCTTTCGCTGCTCAGAGGGAAATTCTCTCACTGCTCCGCCGAAGGTAGACCGCCGACCCAGGCCCGAGGCCCGCTACCACAATTTGCAGAGCTATGGCTACCTTTGCGCAGACCAATTTTCCCTCAGACGTCCGAGACAAGCCACCCCACCAAGAGCCCCCACCACAGCATCGACAACACCACGGACCCTTCTCCCATCAGCTCAACCCGCCCACCGCGCCTCAGTCTCAGTCGTCGAACCCCCCGCCGCAGATAGCCAGACGTGCCTCGCGCGACCTCAGGCCCCAGCACTCCAACGGCGCAATGGCGGGCGCGAATGGCCATGGGCCCATGGCGGTGCCGGGCGGGCGCGCCAACGGCCACGAGCATAGGGCAAACTTGCGCGAGATGGGCTTTGCCGGCCCGCGCAGCCCCCCAAACAACAAGAACACCTCACACGTCCCCTGCAAGTTCTACCGGCAAGGCGCATGTCAGGCTGGCAAAGCGTGTCCGTTCCTGCACTCCGACGAGCCGCTGACGGAGCGGGCGCCCTGCAAGTACTTCACCAAAGTAAGACATGTGCGGGAGGAGGTGAATCATCGCTAATCACTGTACTAGGGAAACTGCAAGTTCGGCCAGAAATGCGCCCTCGCCCACATTCTCCCCAACGGCCATGTAGTGAACCGCGGAAACGCCGGTAACCACTTCAGCCGCATGAACATTCCACACCACCAGGAGATGCCCATGAACAGCTCGCTGCTTACCATGCAGGCACACATGGGCGGAATGCAGCCAGGCTACCCGTATGCCATGCCCGACGAGTACGCGAACCAGAAGAACCAGTACGACATGATCCCGACCATCGACACCACCTTTTCTTCCCACCCAGGCTCCAACTATGGCTCGCCGCCAAACGAGAACGGCCGACTTCCGATATCGCCGACACAGAAGGGCTTGAGCGTGATGGATGTAGGACTCCCTGCGTCTTTCGACAGCCAAGGTGTCTCGACCATGGCGCGATACGGTCCCATTGCGTCTTCAGTACCCGCCAAGTTCCTCGCAAACTCCCCGCCGTCCTCGTACCAAGCCGATTCGCCCGCGCTGCGAAACCTACACGACTCTGCGTTTGGAGATGGTCTGCGGAGGGGCATTGCAGGACTGGGGTCCTCTCCACCAGAGTCGGTAGAGCAGCCAGTTGGACGGAGGATGCTACACTCTGAGCTTGCCGCGAACCGCTCTCGAGGCATCATGTCGTCGAGTGTAGGCGCGCGACCGACGTACAAGGACGAGGAATGGGATGAGACGGACATGATTGGCAAATTCGAGGAGGACCTGCTGCCCAATTCGTTGAGCGATCTTCTAACACCACAGGAGAAGATGCGCCGCTTCTCGCGCGACCAGGGCGAGAGCGACAACCGCACCTCGCAGTCCAGGTTCGGAGTCTCGCCAACAGCGTCAGACCTCAAGTACGGATCACCATCAGCAGCCACAGCTTCTCCCTCGCGATTCCAGTCCATGTGGGCCAAGCCCCGAGGCCCGACTTACGATGGAGGATTCGAATCAGGCTCACTACCAGGCCAGTCAGCCTTCGGACACGTCGGTTCACCCCTCCGCAACTCAAGCCTCCACCCAGGAGCCAGCCCCTCCCTACGCGCCATGAACCGACCGACCACAGGCGACATGAGCCCATACCTCGCCTCCCCTCCTCGTCAAGCTTCCATGAGCATGATCAGCCAGCAACTCTCGCGCACCCGCATATCAGCCCGCGACGAAAGCGGCATCACCAGCAACCCCGTGCACCCCGGCATCAACCGCGTCACCTCCGCATCCAGCATCGGCAGCTCCAGCGGCCGTCTCGGTATCGATCGCGCCGTAAGCAGTAGCAGTATCAACCGCGAGAGAATCGAGGAAGAGCAGGGTCTGTTTAGCATGGAAGAGGAGGATGATCTGAACAAGAGCAGGGACGGCGCTTCGACTACCTCTAGCAACAGCAACAAGCGTCTGAGTGGTCTGTCTTGGGGTAGTGGTGGCAAGGGTAGCCCGAACCTGGCCCCTGTTGGCGGTCATCGGACTGCTGGTAGTTCTGCGCTCGGCAAGGAGACGGGTGCGGGTGCTTGGGGTGGAAACGCTTGAATCGACGGACGACACCCAGACGATGTACGACGATAGCGGAGACCTGCCCTGGCCGCCCAGAGCCGATTCAGCACCAGCAGCCACCCACACACCCCACCCCACGACAGTCATCTCTACGACATTCTTCCCCTACATCACTCACTTCAAAAGAAACTAGGTTGGAAAATTCTCAGCGTTCCCGGCGCAACTTGCATACAGGGTCCTATTCCTCCCACAATACGGACCCTAATCCCTCCCATCTTTCAAACGGCATATACATAAAAGTCTCTTAAAGCTTCGGCTTGACATGATCAACCATGAGGATTCTACCTGGCGTACACAGCACAACGGCACGGGCATGTGCCATTTCCATCTTCTTTCCTATTATTTCCTTTTCTTTCTTTGCAAGTGGGCGTTCGTGCGTTTTTCTTCTTATTTCCACATGAATGGTGCGTCATGGGCAATGGAGTTTATATAAAGATGAATAGTTAGTGGCTATCTTCTTATAGTGGCTAGGCTTTTATGCTGTATGGGGTTAATGTAGTGGATGCTGGATGTGATGAAGGGTTTACTGAACAACGAGTATTTACGATGGCATATGAATGAGCATGGATGGATCGATGAAATGGGTGGGTGAAATGGATGGATAGGTAGCTTTAGCTGGAATGTATATATACATATTCTTGATCAATCGTACTAGGCGTCTTGTGCAGGAACAGTTGGTGGTGGTGGTGGTGCGTACTCGAGAAACTCGGGCTCTGCGAAGCTTAGAGGAGTGAATGGAACATTGTGACGCATGCCACCCAGTGGTATGCCTTTGCTGAAATGCATCGTCGCCTTACGCAGGCCCCAACGCATGTTGAAGACCTGGGTGCATTTCAGCAAAGGACGGCGACCCTTCGCGTGCTTGTGCAGGATCTGCGGGCTCCCATGTTTTGAGCTCATTTAAAAACAATCAGGGTCGTCTCGCCTGGGGCTAGGCGACCCGTACGTGAAGTAGTTGGGCGCGATACTTCCAGGTCCACTCGTTGGCTGGGCTAATTCATTGGGCCCAGATCTTGCTCGTTCCTGCGCTTGTGTGGTACTTCGACTGCGTATTTGGGCCTGTTCCATAGTCGCCCAATCCGATTCTTCGTAATCAAGCGATTCACGCGGTTGTGGAGATACCATTCGAGGTGGGGGTGGAGGTCCATGTAACTGCTGGAAGCCGCTGTTCGTCGAAGAATATTCGAGGTCAGCCCCGGAAGGTTGAAGAGGGCCGTAGCGATCAGACCTAGGAGGCAGCTTTTGCTGCCTTTGCGCAGGATATAGAGGCTGCATATCGGGTCTTCGCCAGGATGGCTCAGTCCTCCAGTCGGTGCCGTCTCCGCGAAGCTCTGTATATGCAGACTTGGGTGATCGGTATACAGAGGACATGCCCTCTCCGGGCTGGTGATTTGAACTCTGAAAGGTCTCTTGTGTCGAAGACGGTTGACGCAGGGGATTCCAAAAAAAACGTGGTGGGCGATAAGGGTTCCTGCATGCTTGAAGGCGCTCCGTGGTTTACAGACAGCTGTGGTGACGGTGCAGTGGTGTTTTCAGATCGCGATGACAACGGTGCTCCCATGATGGGACCCATCGTAGCATGTCGCATTCGCTCAGAGTCTGCTCGGGCACTGGGCAGGGAAGCATGTTGGGCATTTGTGTAGCCAGGCGAACTGCTGTAACTCTGTTCCTGAGACTCCAGGTAGTCGTTGAGGAGCTTCTGGTCGAAGATTTGTTGTGTAGCGGTGACTTGAAACTGTAGTGGTGACTTGAAACTGTTGCGGTGCCTGTTGCTGTTCTTGCAATCGTCGTTGCTCCGCACGTTCGTCCAAAACTGCCATTTCCTGTTGCCACATTCGTTCTTTTTCCTCATTCCATTGGGATTTATGTTGCTGCTCGTAAGGTGCTTTCTGCAGTTGCTGCATGTGTCGACCATAAGGTAAGTAGTCCTCCTCCTGCCGGCTTAGCAATAACCTTTTCTTGTTTTATCGTTCGAGTAGGTCATCCAACTCAGCACCAGCCGAATCAAAGTCTGGTGGCCTTGAAGAAGCGTGTCCATAGGATGATACCGACAGTGACCTTGGTGAATCGTGTCCATAGGATGATACCGACAGTGACCTTGGTGAATCGTGTCCATAAGATGATACCAACAGTGACCGTGGCTGCAACGCAGCGGGAGCATACTCAGCATCGTCGTAGTTATCATCGCCGGTATGCCAGAAACTGTCGAAATCGAAATTGTCCGGAGCTGTTGGGTCACCAAGGAATGGCTCCGAACCCAAAGCGTTATGCTATCGTGATATCAGCATGCATATAGAGACAGAGGTTGTAAACTACACTTACATGGTCGTTCCTGTTGATATGTACTGGGTTGCTGGAAAGAAGAGCAGGCTGATCATGCTCAACGCTGTCTTGCACGGAGAGGTATGAACTGCCCCGCCGGAAAGATGACGGGGGATCCGCGTCAGAGATATTTGGGTACGTTTCTGACGGTAATACCGAGTGCGGGCGAATGCGCCCGTTGGCCGTTTCATTGGCTTGGCCTTGTCTGTATGCTTCACTTGGGTCGAGTGACGCTGTTTCTGCTTGAGAATTTCCTACAGCATCAGGGTTTGAGCTTAAGCCTGCGATGTCAATTGAAGCCACCTGTTGTGGTCTGTCAACCTGATCACCCGTGTTCACTGTTGCCAATGTGTTGAGGGCTCCTCTCCTGTAGAGCATGTCGGCATGCTGGCGAAAGCGGAGGAAGAGAAGCGGGATGCCTTGGGCCAAAAGCTGTCGCTTCTTGTCCTCGGGCCATCGAGAGACGTCACTTTCAAACTTTTGCATGATTTCGGGCGTGGCTGTTTCCATCAGCTTTTTCGCGAACTGGTTGATGATCAATTGGTCTTGACGGTTCTGAGGCATCGAGGTTTCCTGTGCTCTCGGTGGAAACTGTGTTCCCTCACCCCCGCTACTTTTCTGCTGTTTCATCGTTTTATCCTGATGATGCAGGACTTGCAGTATTAAAAGCTTTTTTGTATCGACTCCCGGAGCCAGGGTAGAATTTTGTTCCCTCCAAGTCCTGAGCTGAGTCCATGTCGTTACATCGGAAGGCAAGTTCTTCTGTATCTGCGCGTTCAAGACATTGGGGGGAAAACGCTCGTCATCTAAGTAACGTATGATCCCCGGATTCGTCTGTAAAATCTGCTCAGCAGCAGCGATCCTAGCCGCATGCGTGGGGTACACACTCGAACCTTGGGAATGCTGCTTATGCTCTTCAAGCTTGGATGCCACATCTGCTGTGCGCCGAATCTTCGCTGGTATGAGTAAAACATTAGACTGGCCATGGTGTTTACGCGTATGCGCATTGAGCGCGCTCCTCTTTCCAAAGCCAATGCGATTGAATTGACAGGACACTGTCTGGCAATACACGCGTTGGAAATGGGTGGTCTCATGCTCGAGCCGGAGTTGCCAAGTGGCAAAGCCCGACGATAGCCTCTCACAATGCGGAAAGCGGCATCTAAAGGCAGTGGAAGCATATGATTCCTGGAACGCCCGAAGTGTGGCCGGCGCAACACCCTGTACTTCGTGCTGAGCCAAAAGATGGACAACAGCACTCTCGTATACGTGCGCGAGTCGGCTGAAGAGCGTTCGGTCGTTGTTGGTGACGTAAGTTTCGATATCTGGAGAGGTTCGTGAGCTCACGAAGGTGGCTACATTGGATTGACAGGCTGTGTTGTCAACTTACCTGAACTGTTTTCACCGTCAAGTTGGCTGACTAGTTGTCTGAGACCCAGTACATTTGCCATTAAGTCGTAGATTGGTATGTTCAGAAAGGGGTTGAGCCGTTCCTCTACGTGGGTGGTGTTTGCCCATTCCGGCGACGTGATCCGATGTACAGCAAGTCCGAGTGCGTGCAGATAGTTTTCGTGTGTTCCGTGCAGCTGATCTAGTTGACGTTGAAGGGGTCCGCCTCGGCGGAGATCTCTTCCAGAGGCATATTGCAGGCAGTGTTCGATCCAAAACTCTATCGCATATGGTAAGAGCCTGTAGTGGCCGCTCGCGATGAGAGCAAAATAATCTGTGAAGTTGCTTCCCAATCGTACGAGCTCCAGGCCGCGGATGATGACAATCGCGCATGCGCAGGATATGTCAAGTGCAACATCAATTGCTGGAAGGATTTGGGGTAGTTGAGCCTTCAGGAAATATCTAATTGATCGTTAGCGGACATAAATCTAGCTGATGGATATGCTTACTCTTTGACCGAGAAGTGGACTGGTACTATCGTTGAATCAGGTAGTTCTTCGATAAGCGGTTTGCAGTGGTCAAGAATGGAAGCGACAGGAATACTTCGCATCTGAGAGCCCATGTCGTCTGGAAACATAGACAGCGCCTGCAGTAGCTCTGATTTATGCAGAGGCCTTCGTGAGAAGCATATCCAGCTCATGATGCGTGGCACGCCTCCGTAGCTTTGGGCACCTGGGGCGCTGCAGAGACGAGTCACGATCTGTTTGTAAAGGGCCTCCAGATCAGATGGAAGGCTGTCGACGACAGTACGTAGTTCCTCAGGGCTATACACCGTATCAAGTGATTGCAGCACGAGGCTCACCCACAAGAACATACCTGTGTGAGCGTTAGAAAAAGTACTGTCGTTCAGCAGATTGAACGGGACGTACCCTGAGACTTCTCAAGCAGAGTCTTCTTGACGTGAGCCATGATCGAGGAATCAGGGTCGAGCTCTTCGAAGTGCTCGGGAAGATCAGCAAGCTTATCATCGACAAAACTGGCAATCGCACGAGTAACTGCAAGACCTTCGTCGCCATTGCTAAGAGAGATCATCGTTGACAATTTGTCCTTCTTGCGTCGCGAAGTGACCATAGTCTCTCGGCTGGCGATCATGATCTTGCAAATATGAGAGGACTGGTCGGTTGATATCATCTGCGAAAGATCCTTGAGAAGCTCCGTTTGATCTCGTTCAGCCCATTCATCGATGCCGTCTACAATAAGCCGCACGGATCCCAACCCTTGAAGAAGTTCAGTAAGAAGAGTCAGTAATGCTTTCTTCGTGGGTACTGGGTGTGATTTGAAGTAGACATCATGGACGTAAGTGGCGAGATCCTGGTGTTTTTGAATCACTTGCGAGATAAGGGATCGCAGGAGACGGCTTAGGCCATCGGATTGGCTTCCAAGAAAACTACAGAAGTAGTAGATAACATGGATGGCGTTCGCCTCGGTGTGTTGCACAAGCACAGAGCATATGGTAGACTTCCCTTCACAGAGGTCAGCAAGTGAGTAGTCACGGCGGTACTTTGACATACCTGCCCCGGGTTTTCCGCAAAGCCAAAAAAAGGGATTCTTTGCGCTATCTCCCAGCCATTGCTCAGTGGCTTCGTGTTGTATGAACCAATCGCAACTGCCTGGCAAGTAATGTTGGATGCGCCGGTCGAGAGAGTCGGCTGGGAGAACATCGGTCGTTCCCAACCACGTGAGGACTGTTTGAACCTTGACCTGAATTTGGTGTGTATAGTCAGCCCGTGTCTCATATATACTGAATTCACTAGTTCGCACTCACTGCAGCCCACTCGCGCTCTTGTTGCTCCCATTTGTCATTGTCGGCTTTGCCACGTCGGATGGATTCAGCGATGTCCGCTGCAGCAGCTTCCTTGTCGGCTAGCTCGCTGTGATACGCCAGGCTATGCAGTATCCCATTGAATCGTGATTCAAAGCCAGCCCACATGGAACCGAAGAATATAGGCCATGCTATAGCTAGTGAGAACAACATAGTGGCAGGCTGCTAGTGTACTTACATTTCCTCTTCACAAACTTGTAAGCTCGACGATGAAACTCTACAATGTCAGAATATACTAGGGCTAGCACGTTCTGAAAGTTGTGATCATTGACAAGTGCAACGCCAAGACGATGAAGGCGAGAGAGTATGTCCCCAATTTTGCCGTAGGCTTCTATCAACTTTTCGAAGGCACTGATAGAATCGGCCGTGATCTGTCTTTACAGTAAATAATCCAGCCGCTGTCTATACATGCGACTACTCACCATAAGCATCATCTTTACTGGTGCCCAGATCCAAGGTAGAAAAGGTGTGCCGTTGCACAGCACCTCAACTACCTTGGAGTAATGCTCCATTCCCCGAAGGAATGGATCCAGCCGAGCCATATTCCTTTGCATCCGCTGGCCGCGGAGCTCTTGCTCAATCTGTATCGCTGCCTCTCGGACATCTTTGAGCTGCGTGATTTGGAATTGTCGTTGGTCGTCGGACGTGACAGTGGATGCAAACCGCTCGAACGCGTCTTGGATCGTGACGCGGGCTTGGGCGGAAGGGGCCGCCATGACGAAGTGGGGCCGTGCGCGCGTCACGGACACGCGACGAAATCTGGGGCAGGAGGAAGATGCTTCGATCACAACACGTTCGCTACTTTGTGAACATATCGATGGTATTTTCAGTAGGGGAGTAACGGAGGGCAGCTTGTAAGTGGCACGCTCAAGGTTGACAACACCTGGGCACGCTTGTACAGCCTCGTAGGCAGACAAACTCAGCCCCAGTGGCTTGCAATGGCTTGCCGCAGTCATGCACCCACAGTAACCTTTCTGACTTCCACTCTCCAACATGGTGATCTGCGAGACGTCTTCTTTTGCGTCTTCAGAAGATTTACAGCATGCTCACACGTCTTCCAGAGATCGTTGTCGACGAATCAGCTGCTCCAGCTCCAAAGCGACGGCGATTCAATACCCCCCATGCGGAGAGCGTCACACTCGAGAGCGTCTGCAATGCATCTGACTCTGTATCCTCGGCGCAAGTCACGTCGATACCATCTACTTGCGCAATAATTGAAGAGACAAGCGACAACACTTTGGTGTGTTATGGCATGGTTCGTCGCGTTCATCTTAGTTCCGTGGCCTACACTTACGTTACTCAGATATCAGATCTAAAAGTACAGAGCTCTTCCCATCATGTCGCTAGTCCAACCTCGGCCCAACACCCGATCCGCTTCGAACCTCCTCGCACGCTGTACCACGGTAGCGCCAGTACGCCAATCGGGCGGCTCGACGAATATTGGGGCGAGCTACTGAAGAGGCTGGTTGCCGACGACGAGCTCATATTACAGCTCGCACTGTTCTCGGCCCCCATCGCCCCCTTGATAAAACCAAAGATGCCTAGGAGAGATTTACAGTACCTTGGAGTCACAATATATGGCCCCAGATGTCGCTGCGATGACGTGGGCATTTTCATGACTCAAGTCAACTGCTTTTTGGACGATCCCGTTGGATGTGATCTCAATGTGCCCTACATGAACCCCCAATGTCTGTTCAGTCTTCATAAGCGACTACCGATGACTTTTGATTTGCCGCAGATGCAGCAACCGTACATCGACAGTTTTTCACGAGCCTCACTCGATATTCTGTCCGGTTTCGAGACTGCTGATGACTTCGAGTCATCGGCCAGCCCTACAGTTCTACTTACCGAGCTGAAAGAGTACGTAATCTGTCGCGAAAGAGGTGTATTGACTAACTTCGTCCCAAAGGCATCAGAAACAAGCCCTTACTTTCTTCCTGCAACGCGAACGAGGTATGCACCCAAACAAAGATGGTGTTGGCATATGGTTGCGGAATACAAGCGCAGACCAGTCTACGTGCGTATGCCCGAGGCCTCTTTTCGAGATTCAATGCTGAACCATGATGTGCTTCAGTTTTGTGAACGCTGTGACTGGTGAAGTACAATCTGCCCCTGGCCCGATATGGCGTGGTGGATTGCTCGCCGACGAAATGGGTCTTGGAAAGACGCTGAGCATGATAGCTCTAATCGCTTCTGACCAGGATCGCCCTTCAAACCACGATCGATTTACATGCTTTCCTACACCCGAGACTTACATACCGTCGACTCTGATAGTGGTGCCAGTGAACTGTAAGAGTGCATGTATTGTGCGACTTTACAAATACTGACTTCTTCTGCAGTGTTCGGTGTTTGGGAATCACAATTACAGAGGTTCGTCGTCGCAAGCTGTGCGAGTTGCTCTTGCTGACCTTCATTAGCCATGTTCAACAGGGCAAGTTGGCATGGTGCATGCATCACGGCAAACGGAGGTTCAAGCTGAAGGACCACGAAAAGCCGCCCGGTAAGTTGTGTTCACGTACACTCTACAGATGATACGTCGACTGACGGGCCGTTACATCACTAGAGATAGTGTTCACTACCTACCAGACCCTCGAGGGAGAGAACCGCAGGAGCGTTCGGAGCAGCGATTCTATATTCTCCCATCACTGGAGACGCATCATACTCGATGAGGGTAAGCTCGAACGACTCTCTCACATCATGTGGTTCAATACTGACTAAACCTCTTCTAGCACACACAATACGCAACCACAAGACTTCTACTGCGCAAGCAATGGCCGCGCTCCGTGCGACTTCGAGATGGGCAGTCTCGGGCACCCCAATCCAGAACAGCCTGCTCGACTTCCATGGCCTCTTCAAATTCCTTCATTTCGCCCCCTACGACGATCCAAAGGCCTTTGATGACGATATCTCGAGCATATGGCGTACAAAATCTGTCGAGGACGCTGGCGAAATATTCAAGACACTGCTCTCGTGCATCATGATACGTCGAACCAAGGCTATTCTAGATCTGCCCTGCAAAGACGATCAGTTGATACGTGTGCCATTCTCTCATGAGGAAGAACGACATTACCGCCAAATCGAGCAGCCCGTCCTGGATATGCTGGATCGCACCACAGGAAACGGCAGCCAAACCCAGGCCCCTTGGATGACCGCTATACAACAGATCAACAAACTCCGCCTTGTTTGCAACTTAGGAGTCTTCACTCCTTCGCAAGTGAACGGTTTCTCGCAGCCTGGCAGTTTAGATGACACGACATCCGTGATGAGCGCCCGCTTCTCAATGGGTGGAGGATTTTGCGAACTGTGCTTCCAGCCAGTAGAAAAGTCAATACTCAGTACTGGACTCCGTGATCCTACACAAGAACAAGTCTACTACTCAGCCTGCAGCAAGTTCTACTGCGCCGAGTGCTCTTCGAGTCTTTACCATCGATCACCCGATCCATGCGCATGCACGGAGCAGCCGCGACCCTGTCACCTGCGTCCGCTGGCATCCTTATTAGCTACTCCTAGTCTAACGCCCACGGACAGTCTTTCACCTTCATCGATGGATTGGGACTATGCCAACGAGATTTCAAGCAAAGTATGGGCGCTTGTTTCGCAGATCAGGTTGCGTCCACAGGAAAAGCAGTAAGTCCACCACGACCTTCGAGCACGTTTCCGAGCTAATCTCTCGCTAGTGTCGTATTTTCGTCCTGGACATCAAGTCTCGATATGGTGGAGAGAGCGCTTCGGTCTAATGCAGATCAAGTCATTCAATTCGTCCGAATCGATGGCAAGGTGCAGCCGAAAAAGCGCAGCCTTGCTATAGAGCGGCTTCGTGACGACCCTGGTATACGCGTCATACTGATCACCATTGCTTGTGGCGCCTGTGGGTAAGTTTACGAAAATATTATCCATGAAACACGAACACATACTAACAGTTGTTCCAGTCTGGACCTGACAGCGGCATCTGCAATCCATCTTCTCGAACCCCAATGGAACCCATCTCTCGAAGATCAAGCGCTCGCTCGCGTTCATCGACTCGGACAGACTCGTCCCGTCACCACCATACGCTATATCATGAAAGACTCGTTCGAAGAGGTAATCATGGCGCAGCAGATTGTGGAAATATGAACTAACACGTCCACCTATAGCACATCCTCAAAGTTCAAGATCGCAAGAAATTGCTCGCCACAACGCTCCTCTCCAATGGCTCTTCGCTCGAGGTAAGCAATGCGCATACGAACACATTCACGCTAGCCTTCACATACTGACAAGCTGTTCTTAGAACCTGCGACAATTGCTGCACGAAAGAAAGGGCGGTCAACATGCTTGATGGGACGCAAGAGCATCGATGGCTAAACGCAATATATTCTTCTTATCATTCGTGCCTGGATTCTAGTTTCTGATAATTGTAAATACTCTCATACGAGACTACCATCGTGTTCAGGGTGGTAATGAATTGCCGGAGTCGTGACTGAATCGCCGTCCGCTTTGCTTCGTCGCGCACAACTTCGACAATGTACTGATGCAAACTTCTATGTGAAGCCCTCTACAGGTACCATAAGTGAATTCTGTCATGGCGTATCTGATTTCTAGCTCGTGATGATAGATGACTCTTGTGATCGTCCTACGCCTCCCTCTTCGCAGGCTGCTGGTGTTGATGTAGGTGGCCCGTGCGTATCGCGTATTGACGCGTCCGCGCGTCATCCTTCTGCCATCGCAGAAAGACTGCAAGCACTACATCCCCAATCACCAGCGACACCTGCACATCACCACCGTATATGCCTTCGATTACACGCGGAAAATTACGGCCAATGTTTGCGCATTCCGCGTGCTGCTACATGGCGTAGCGCGTGTTACGCGTTCTACGGATCTCTAGCATGTTTAGAAGCTGCGCACGGTAATCGTCGTATGCCTTTCTGCGCGCTTCTTCCTTGTTATCAAACTCCACCTTCTCCTCTCCGCTCAATCTCGCCGAAATCGCGTCGGCGCTTTCGCGTTGGTCAGCCTGGCTCAGCTGTTCGAAATAGATAGGAGATGTTGCACCAAGACGGCGACGATGGCAGCCACCCAGGTCTTCGTCCAATTCGCCGGTTCCTTGGAGACGAGGCTGCTGCGCGAAAAACAACACTGCAAAGGGTCAGCCTCTGCAATTAGCGACGTGGCCTCCAAGTGAAAGGGTGAAGGCTATGCCATCATGCCATGGGCGTGGGTTGGTATTCTCTCCCTTTGCTGCACACACCGTGCGTGGCATTTCCTAGGTTATCTTAGCGTATGTACCCCGCACACAAGCACGTGATAAAGGCTCCATCCCAGCGCGCCACTCCCCGCAGCCTTGAGAGCAGCTTGATACAACCTGTTCATGCTCAAGTAACAATGCCTGGCGATGTTCAACTCGTACTCCCGCGCCGCGATCCGACAATTGAATGATGGTATCAACGGAGGAGAGCTATGCGTGCCATGCCAGATAGCCATAGAAGAAGACGAGCGTACGGGCTTCGCTAGCATCGGTACTCCAACCTGGTTGAACAACGGCTTCCGAGAATACGATGAATACCAGCATCTTACCGAGCCCGTTCTCTATTGCGACTGTTGTCGTCATGTTTTTCGCGCCCGAGAGTTCCAGAGACGACAGGGAAGAGATCAAAGCCCATCAGTTGATGCGCAGAAGTATCCTGGGGACTTCAACGGATTGACAACGTGTGTGTTTCTGCAGGATGACGATTTGGATTCGAAGGCGTGTGAGGCGGCATTGAACGACTTCAAGGTTCACAAATCAGATTATAGTCGGACAGTAAGACATCACTGGGCGGATGTGGAGTTGATCAAGAGTTGGCTTGGTGACTGCGAAAAAGACCACGGCCATGCCTGCAATGAACACCAGACATCACTTACTGATACTGGGCCGCTTTTGCTTCTGGACGTTATCGATGATTGTCTCGCGGTTGGGAATTTCAAGGATCGGTATTTCGCCTTGAGTTACGTCTGGGGCGCTTCGAAACAGTTCCTGACCCTGGTGGAGAACTACGACCACCTGCGCGAGCCCGGAACACTTTCGAAGCAACCCTTGACCCAGACGATCAGGGATTCAATGACTTTCATCAAGAGCCTGGGTGAGCGATACTTGTGGGTTGATACGATGGTAGGCGAATTCAGCATGATAGATTGGGGCCTCCACTTACGAAATCCAGTGCATCATCCAAGACGACGCTGCTAACAAAGCGAGCGCTCTCGCTCAGATGTGCGCAATCTACAGTTGCGCCATGGCCACGATAGTGGCCCTAAACGGAGACTCCGCCGACGCCGGCCTACCTGGCATTCCGCCTACGGCCCGCAACACCACCGCAACCTTCGTCACCCCTGGACTACACATGGTGGAGCGATCATCCTTGGAGAACATGTTGGCAAATCACACCTATGATGGTGTAGACGTCGATTGTGTATACAACACGCGCGCCTGGACATTCCAAGAACGATTACTATCGAATCGAAGTATCTACTTCCTCGGCGAACAGGTGTACTTTCATTGCAAGAAGCAGCTTGTATGCGAAGACAGATACATCAGCGATGACAGCGGATTCTATACTCTGGACAAGATGCGCACGACAAGCGCAGAACTGAAGTCCAAGACTACTCGAGCTAGCACATATAGTCCACTGGACGAGTTTCGTTGGTACGAAGAAATCGTTGCGGAATACACGGCAAAGAAGATGGGCTACCCGGACGATATCATCAATGCTTTCACCGGCATTCAGACTATGCTAACTCGCATGTTTGATTGGCCATTTGTCGGCGGCCTCCCGACTTCCTTACTGGATCTTGCATTACTTTGGACTCCTGTCACCACTATTGAGCGGAGACTGACAGCCTCGCAACAACCAAGCTGGAGTTGGTCGGGCTGGATCGGGCGAGTTCGATATGCAGATCTTGTGCGCCCAGGCCATAGGCCGATAAGCTCGTTGTTCAGGCCGCTAGCCAAACATCAGCTGGCCACGCCAGCTACGATTGTCTTCGAATGTATGAGCGTTCCTCTGAAAGCGTTCAACCTCACCAAGTCTCCGAAAGGGCTTTTTGACCCATTCCAGAGCACATCTAGCCCCATCACCGAAGACTCATGCTACGTCTTCGACAGCAACAAACGTCGCTGTGGCATGCTCATAGGCCTTTCTCAAGAAAACGCGTCTGATATAGCCAGTGACAAACTGAAGCTCCTCGCGCTTTCGGCTTGGAAGTCGAACAACAGTCTCACGAAGAACGGGCCAGTTATCTCTCATCTCTCGGATAATGGATATTTCTCAGACGAAGAGGTGTACGATCAAGCTTTCCGCGATGCAGAGTGGTGTACTTACAACGTCATGCTCGTTCGCTCGGTAGGCGACGCATATGAGAGGGTTGCAGTGGGACAGATGCACGTAGACGCGTGGCATGGAGCGGGTGAGACGCGGGGAAGGTTCGCGGTGAATTGATCATATGGCGATACAGTAACAACGCACAACTATAACTCAGAGCATGAACAGTGGCAACATGATACACACCCTTCGAAAAGCTCAAGGAGCGTATACTTTCCCAGTGCCTATATGTACTGTTCAATCATTGAGTAGGCACGTCGCGCGTTGTGCAATTGTCATGCGGCATCTTGCCAAACCAGCTCCCTTTTTGGGGTGTTGCCAAAGCCTTCCGCATAACAAGGTCCGCCATCAACAAGCCAGTTCCCTGTTCAGTTGGTGGACGCCACCCTCCAAACAACGGCACCTTCCTCAGATAGATCCTCGAGTATGCCGTGCCGCAGTCTGGTTGCATAGGTATGCTAAGCATTATCTGACTTGGCCTCGACGTCTCATGTCCTCCTTTTGATACCAAGCGGGTTGATATCACCGTTGTTTCTCCAGCACGTCGATTTGCGCGAGGATCACATCCTTGCACCATGGGAGCGGATTTTTTGTCATGGCGCTGTACACATTCGTGAGGTACTGCTCTGTTGAGAGTCCGTCGGTGCATATAGCAGGGATCATGCAATGTCTGGCGACGTGTGTAGCGAACAAGAGGCGTGATGTTCGGCCGTTGCCATCTGGGAATGGATGGACGCTGACGTAGTAGAGAGTGTCCCATACACCCTTTATCAGAGGATGTATGTCCTCTTGGTCGTGCGCAGCGAACTTTGACCACCGCTCCAGATTCGCTTCCACTTCGCCTGGATAGGGGAATATGGCCTTTGGGTTCGACTGAACCTGGACTGGCATGTGGCGGATTAAGCCAGCCTTGAATGGCATTTGCATGCCTCGAAACAGGATTCTTGACATGATCCTTATGTCCCCTAGGAGGTTCTCCGGGGTTGATGCTCGCTCGACATAGGTACTCGATAGTACAGCCTGTAGTGCGACACTGTTGTTGCGCAGTTCGAGATACTCTATCTCCTTGGACTCCTCGCCGTTGTCGAGTTTTATCAACTCGCTCGAGGATGGAAGCCGCAAATTCATCGCGTTGAGCAACGCGCTTCCACCGTGTTTTTGCAATGGTATGGCCGCTTCGACCTTCTTTGCGGTCGCTAACGATAGACTGTTGTGTTCTATGGCGCAGCTTCTCCAAGAAAAATTGGCAAGTACGTTACTACAAAACATTGTGGTATCTTGCACGGTCTTTGATGGTGATGTGTCCTCAGCTCTTAGCTGGAAATCTTTTCGCAGCGTATCCAAGTATGCAAGTTCTTGACGCATTTGGTGTTGCGCATCTCTCCAGGGTGCTGCATTTCGTATCTGGTAGACCTTGTCCCATACTGTTCCGGAACGGGCGAGCGTAGTCCACTCCGGTCCATATTCGAGAAGACCGTCGAATTGCGCATAATGCTTTCTGAGGAGGGTGTTTCGCGCGCGGATGATTTCTTTCGTCCACTTCATGTTGTTTGCGTTGCTGATTTTCTGTCTGTGTTGATGTTCCGAAGTTTGGTGCAGGTTAACAGAATCTTTTCGGAGGTTTAGGGTTGCTAGTAGCTGCACTTCTATGGTACTTGCCCCTACTTCCATGGTACTCTCTCTGACTTCCATAGTACTTGCATCCACTCAACCATAACATAGCAGCGGCGAAGGTCCCAAATCCAGCATCACTCGCACTCGCTATACTATTGTAGTATCTTACAATATCGTTGATGGTGATTAGTCCTCAGCACTTAGCTGGAACATTCTCCGGAGTGTATACAAATGTGCGAGCTCTCGATGCATTTCATGTTGTGCACGTCATCCTAGGAAAAAGCTAAACAGGTCTGCAGCCTACATTAACGTAGAAACCTACAAAGTAGGTGGCCTAACGTTGATGTAGGCTCTAGGCCTGTTCAATTCTTTCCTTGTATAAGGTGTGTGCATCTTTCTAGGGTGATGCATTTCTCCCACAGCCTGCATTAGAGGAAATCATCTGAGCCAGCCCACGCGCACAGATTGTAAGAGGCCAGTACAAGACGCCGATCTTCCTTGTTCATGGCACGAGCGATGACTTGATCCCCCGGGAACAGTCGCAGGGGACGTACGAGGCGCTCGTAATGGAAGGTGTGTCATCGGGCCTTGCTATCGTCGAGGGTGCGCCGCATATCTGCGACCTCAGTAGCAATCCTGAGTCAGAAGGGTGGAAGGGTATGCTGAAAGGCTATGATTCCCTTTCTGCCGCGATAGCCCATTCCAGTTCTGCTGCTGCCGGGTGTTCCATCTGATCGGGTTCTTTCGGTTGCGATAGCCCTCGTTCGAGAGGCCTTCAACGTAAAGGGTGTAGTGTGGATTCGGGACTCATGGATGGCTCATTCGCGATGTATCATAGCCAGTGGCGTCTACAATCGAATCAGCTCGGTGCTTTAGGTGGAAAAGAACAACATCGAGGGATATAGTGTAGTAACTCAATATCATCCCAGCGGAACACGCTGGATGGGATCATCATCGTACCTGCTAATCTGTGATTGTCTGAGCGGCCAACACCTGGATCTAGTTGATGCGATGACTCGGAATCAAAGATAGTTATGATTGTAAGGAAGTGCGCAAGCGACGACTGTTGCTGCCGGTAGTACAGTATGGGTATATGCGAGGCTGTTAGAGTGTCGGCAGGCCATCTCCAAGGCCCCTGGAAAAGCGCGGGCCTGGGCAGGGTCCAATTATGCGCTAACGATATGTGCTCGACGCCCGCGTCACTGTTCCCTGCCACCCCGCCACGCCTGCTTCATCCATCTGCATGACTCTCTTTGGCATTCCAACCGCGATCGCATTTGCTTGCGCCGCGCTTCATCTCCATGGGCCTCAGAAGCACGGCCAGCCCCTCGGATGCCATGTGCACGCGTCATATACTTTCTTTCTCGCGCTGCTATAAGAGCTTCAGTTCCATCTCGTTCACAGCCAAGGGCTTTGTAGTGTTCAGGCAACAGCGCTGTACCCGGCAGAAAGCGACTCCAACGGAATGTGACATGCGGAGAGCCAACACTACCGAAAAGAAGCGATATTCGGATCTGGATTGCAGTTCAGCAGCACCCCATTGTAAGCGCCCAAGGCCACTACATCCAGGGCTAGAGCATATGACACGAGAAGGATACTAGAACCCGCAAACGGTCTTCCACATACCATAGTCACTTGCGCATGCCTTTACAAAGTAGCTTGGCTCACGGTCGTCGCAATGCATCTCAGGCAATAGCTGGTACGATTACGGCGTGAGCATGTTCTCTGCTAACGATAGACAACGCCCGCACTACGGACGAGAATGCTTCTGGAACAGCTGATCTGCAAATGCCGTAGATAACCTCGCATATGGCGTATGCTGTATTCAATCATCTCTCAGCTTTCGATCTTGAACGGTCACGACTTCACACATGAAGAGTGGTGGCGCCGAATCGTTGGCAGGCCCCCACCTCAGCCTGATCACCTGCCGTGCCGCTCAACTTGATATTAGGTTCAGCCTTGGGAGAACTACTGCGATCCGTCCTGAAGGTTCTTCTACCACCTCAGGAGCCATCTTCGACGCGCCTAGAGATATCTATTTACCATTCGCAATGCACCAGTATACGAAGTCCTCGCCGCAGAGGACCACTGCGGGCGGGCAAGAACTGGACGGCATCCAGCCTCGCGAGGACGAGGCTGCGATGAGACCGGGGAATGAATCCATCCGCTCAGGCTTCAACGTGAGCCCGGTGCTTCGATCAAGCCTCGACCCAGTCTCGACTGCGACTCCGTCTTCAGTCCCAGACACAGCTTTGGAAAGGTTTGAAAAGCCTGCTTCTTCCGACCAAACTGGAAGTTCAATCAACCACCTGCCTGTCACCTTACTTGGTAGACGCCCGAGGTGGAAACGGACATGGATAACGCCTGTCACAATACTAGGCTTCTACTTCATATGTAAGCATGATAAACAGCGTTGTACATCTGCTTGTTCATAATACTAATGGCGTCTAACCAGCCAGCATTTGTGCAGCAACGCACTACTGCTTCTTCGTATACCTCGACGGTCGTATCATCTCTCCAGAGTCTATGCCTTCCACGAAGACTACTACAGTACCACAAGCCTACGCTACTACGGTATCGCTGGTACTAGTCACCGCATTTCGCGCTGCAATAGTAGCAAGCATCGGCACATGCTATACGCAACACCTTTGGGCAACGTTCAGAAAGCGCACTCTCAAGGTACTATATTTCTCAGTCTAGCTAGCGGAACGGAAGCTTACAATGTGCAGATCAGCCTTATCGAAGATCTTTTCCAAATGCAGACCAATCCGCTCCGCCTTTTCAACTACCACTTGTATTTCGAAACGCCAATGCTTGTAGCTGTTGCTACGTTTTGCTGGCTTGTACCCATTGCAACACTGTACCCTCCAGGTACTCTAGTCGTCGGACTGCAATCGTCTTCCATCGATCAAAGCTTCAATGTGTCCGTCTTCCACTATAGGACTCTCAAAGACATTACGGACGACAATGTCATAGCCCTAATTAGGTGTGAATACGATTGTAATACAGACTGATGGTGCGATTTGCGTCCCCCGCCATTCCCGGAAGCGCTACAGAATTCGTCGCTGCTAGAAGGTTGTTCTTCAAGGGGGTTAGTTCATCTCATGCCAAGCAAATCATAGTGTTTCCAAGGTCATGTTTGTCAGATACTGATTTGCCTACAGCATTATTCCTAGTATGGATTATATTATACGCACAAATCTGATTGTAGGTGAGATATCCAGGCTGAGGCAAGTAAGCAGAGAAAACTCATCGTATGAACTCAATTTTCTGGGGACCATCCTGGATTGCGAGACTACGAACCGCTCCATAGAAAGCACGATCCTGCAGTTAAGCCACCGCCAACCCCTTCCCCAGTATCCGGAGATGGTCTGGCAGATCGAACATCCCGAACCCAGGTGTGAGTTAAAATACTACGTTGGATCAGAACTTTTCCCTGGGAATAGGTCCATCACCTATCGCATCAGGCACTACGAAGTGAAACCACGGTATTGGCCGTGTTTGGACAAAGACAGATGGAAGCCCACTATCAATCAGTCGCTTCCTGAATACAGACAGAACGTTAGTCTTCCGGACTCTGGCATACATTTCGTTGTACCTGTAACCGAGACAGTGTGTCGGCCGAGAATAGTAAGATATCACGTCACCATCACACATGCTGGTGGAGCACAACATATCTCTTATGTAATTGGAGCCGAGGGATCTGTACCAGAATACACGCCACAGTTTAACAGGTTCAACGGAACTTTTGAGCAATGGTCACAGCTTGCAGACACTGAATCGATATACCACAATTTTGCATGGAACCTCGATCAGCCTGGAAGGAGTTTCGAAGTCAGCTTATTTGAGTATCCCAGCATGTCTAACGATACGAAGCCTTACACAACTGAAAATGGTACCGACGTGGAAACGTGCCTGCTCGAAGCACAGAATCTGTCGTCCGACAGGCCCGATGATGAATCACCGGGCCAGATCTGGGCCCTCGGTGTCTTCGAGCAAAGACTCCATGACATCGATGAGGTTTATGAATGCCCAGCATTTGACTCTAATATGGCCAATGAGCTCCTCATCAACACCACAATCTCCGCACTGGCCCTAAACCAGCGCTTCGACACCGTCAACGGAACAGAGACCCGCACCTTCACTGTTTACCGCTTCGAGAACAAGCTCGCCTTCTTCCTCCCATACGGTCTCTCACTCGCCCTGGCGATACCAATCCTAGTACTAGGACTCGTAGCTCTTTACGTCCAAAACCACGGCGTTTCGGCTATCAGTGGAGGTTTTATGCAGCTTCTTATGACGACTACCGCGCGTGGTTCACTCGAAGCTGCGGTTATGAGGGGCTCTGGTACGCTGGGTGGATACGAGAATGTTTCGGAAGAGCTGCGGGGGATGGAGGTTAGGTTTGGAGAGCTGGTTGAAGTTAGTGGGGATGAAGTCAAGGACACCGATACGCTTCTGAGTGGGCATGACGGGCTTGTTGATGCGCAAGATTATGATAGTTCGCAGTCAGGTGTGCAGGCTGCGTCTGGAACGGAGCGGTTCGAGAACAGCGTTTCTGTAGCGCGAAGAGCCGGCTTCGGCACGGTCGATGAAGTGATACCATTCAGGAAGGAAGCAGAACAGTAGTTGGAGGCTTTGTGCTCTAGGAAGCTACGAAGGGAGGAAAATTGACGGGTTTGCACTGATTCAGGTTGTCCGGGCACTTGCAATGCTGATGGTTCAGCTCTGACGGTGACGGTGACGTACACCAGAAGTCACTTCGGTTAAAATCGAATCGCGTTACCCTCCGTAAAGCGGCATGTTGTGTAGCGCATCGCATTCATGAGAACTCCGAAGGTGTTGTGATGATGAGCAAAAAGAGGCAAAAGCAAAATATCCAACAGCGCCACCGGTGCATTGCCTGTACGCAGCTAAGCGGACGCAAATTCACCCCTCAAAAACGAACAATACATATGTACTACGTTCGGTTAATATCTTTCTATGGGTTTTCTGTTCCTGTTACTCGATACGATTTATGGCGTCACGGCACTAATCTCGGTGTTATGTCAACCGTGCTCACCGGCGGTAAGATTAAGTCTCTCTTCGGTATTGTCTACGGACCGTTTCCAAGCTTACACACCGAGCCAGGGGGAAGGTTGTATTGCTTGCTCCTCCCGTTCGCTCGCTCTTCTTCGTAAAGTTTGTTTTACACATTACATTGTAAACTCCAGAATCATCGCCAGACCCAACAATGCAGACGCGCAAAAACCAACGGGTAGCTTTTGCGGCAGTTGCGTTTCTTTCTGCCTTTGCATCCAGCTCGCCAGCACAACCACTCTCGCGTCGCGATGTAGCTTCCCTATCCGACGTCCATTCTCTAGCACTCAAAGAGCGTGGTATACCGGTCGTCGACTCAACCATTCCCCTCAAGCTGCGTTCCGGCGCTGGCAGACAACTTGCGAAACGCCAGAATGGTGGGCCTCTACGCACAATCTATGATGGAGCGCAATATGCCATTGACGTGACCATCGGTACGGAGACGCTTCAAGTTTTGATCGACACTGGAAGCAGCAGCTTTTGGGTACCGAAGGCCGATTTCGTGTGTGTAGACGTAAACGGCACGCAACAGTAAGTCTCGACACCTTAACATACTCTCATCTGGTACCTCAAATCTGATATTGAACGTTAATCATTGTAGATCTCAGCCCACTTGCGGATTTCCGAAATTCGGCCCCAAAAGCTTCTCCGGCGGCCAAATCGCGGACCAGAACTTCAACGTGACGTATGGCGGAGGGGAGTTTGCGACTGGCATTGTGGGTCTTGAAGACGTTGGCTTTGGAGGTGTGACCGTCAAGAATCAGAAGATGTCGTTCGTGGATAGAACCTACTGGCTGAGCGCAGGCAATCTGACTAGTGGGCTGATGGGTACGTAACGCATGTTGTCTGTTTTGAGGTTTTGTTAACGAAAGTTACTAGGCTGGGGGCTTGGTGCCACCACCGCCATCTTTGAGGGCGCAGACCCGTCTCAAGACGGCGGGAAAAAGCCCATCTTTGTCAAACCATGGCTGGAGACCGCCTATGACCAAGGCTTGGTGGCAAAGCCCATCTTCTCGGTCGTACTCGGTAAGAGGGGCAAAGACGACGCGGACTTGTCAGCTACAGGTTTCCTTACGATAGGAGGAGCGCCATCGTCATCGTCGTTGCCGCTCACGGGTGCCTACGCTACCACGCCAATCCTCAAAGAAACGTTCGATCATTACCAGCTGAAGAACGAGTATGTCCACTATGTCATCCGACCTGACGGGTTTGTGGTCAACGGAAAGTTCATCGCCTGGGCACCAGGTACCTCCGCAGGCACCCATTACGGTGACAGTCAAGACCGATTCACGATCCTTGACAGCGGAACCGCGTACACCATGATCCCGAAGGCCCTTGTAGAGACGATCGCTGCAGCTTTCGACCCTCCAGCTTCCTTCAGTGAGGATGACGGGCTCTGGGTGGCTTCATGCAATGCGAAACCACCTTCTGTCGCCATTCGCATCAACGGAACGAACCTTCCCTACGCCTCATCAGACGTTCTCGTCGACGGCACTCTAGGCGTAATCGACGAGGAGAAGCAGACATGCATAGTGGGTTTCATGGAACCATCTACTCCGCCTTGGGGTGGCGACCTGCCGTATATCCTCGGAGCCAACTTCCACAGGAATGTGCTAGCGGTACACGATATTGGAAACAAGGTGATGACGTTTGGTGCGCTGAAGTGGAACTGATCTCGTATCCATTGCGACGCTGATAGCATACACAAGATTACATTTCGATAGAAAATACCTTCATATCTGTTATGCACGTCAATATACCGTAGCTCTCTAGAGATCTGTCATGTTCGTCCGCCTAGTGTTCTTCCCCTTTGCGTGTTAGCATCATGGCCAGCCGTTCCAACATGACCGTCAATCCACGGAGTGGTGGTTGACTCCTTCCCTTCATGTCGGTCCGAGGTCGCGACATACACTCAGGCCAGAAGAGTACGCCGACAAATGGATGCTGATATGTGCTAGCTCAGTCCTCGTAATGTAGCAGCGTACCTCACAAATAAGCACATCGCACAGCTAGACGTATCACTTAATTTATTGAGTCTTAGACTTGGTGATAGGCATAGCTAGGGTAAGCTCGCCTACGCAAAGACTACCGCAGCAAGACACAGAGCTCCAGGAAGACCCTGGATAAAGAAAATCTTGGTATTTGCCGTACACCCTCCATAAACACCCGCCACAAATACACAACCCGCGAAGAACAGAGCAATTTGAGGCGCAAACACGGCACTGGGATGGGCCAGAGACCACAAGAGGCCAGCTGCCAGGAATCCATTGTACAGGCCTTGGTTGGCGGCCATGGTCTTGGTTTTGGCCGCAAAGTCAGGCTTGAGTGCAAATGCTTTCAACCCTGCTGGTGAGGTCCAGAAGAACACCTCCAAGGCCATGATGTAGACATGGAGCGCGGCGAGTAGAAGAACGGTAATAGAGGCGAGGAGCGGCATGGTAGGCGCAGATTGAGGGTTGGATGTGGTATCGATTTTAAACGAGATGATGATTTGAGGGTATGGTCGAGTCTGGTGATGAGGGGGAATCAAGGTGAATAAATAGCTAGAGGCTACTTCGGCTTTACTTGAGAAACGCTAGTCTCAACGTGTTGCAGGAATGCTAGCGACACGGGCAAATTCCTTCCTATAATGCCGAAGGACCTCACGTTCCAGAGAGAATTCGAGATTAAGCTATGAAAGTGTAGACCCCAGGGTGTTCAGCTTTTCCTAAAGTTGACATGCCCCGGGGAAAGCTATTGCGCAGATAAGTCTTGAAGCTAGGTGTTAGTTTTGTGGAGGCGAAGAGGCAAGGTTCCCAAAGGTTGAGTTGGTGGCTGTGCGCGCCGGCTGTTGCCTAGCCGTGCATAGCTCTAGCTGACTGCGGTCATCACTGCCCCGCGCCATAAAGCGACAACCACGTTGGATGCCATCTCCTGTTCTTCTTCGCACAACATCAGTTTCGCCACTAACCTTTTTTTTTACATTCTATTGTTCATATTGTTGAATGCTATCCATAGTAATGACTGCAAAGTTACATCCAGATCATGCGTCTATTACGAATGAATGAAGATGGAGACGTTAGCCTTGAAGACCACCCGGAAAAGACTGAGCCGTACGCAATACTTTCGCATAGATGGGGGGAAGACCATGAAGAGGTCAACTTCAAAGATGTGATAGAGCACACGTACAGGCACAAGAGAGGATACGCAAAAATCCTTGGCTGTGGAGAACAAGCAAAGCGGGATAACCACCAGCTCTTCTGGATTGATACCTGTTGCATCGACAAGAGTAGCAGTGCAGAGCTTTCCGAGTCGATTAACTCCATGTGGCGTTGGTACTGCAACTCTCAAGTCTGTTACGTCTACCTAGATGATGTCCGTGCAGGCATTGATGAGGCTGAAAAGGATACTGCATTCACCAAATCAAAATGGTTCACGCGAGGTTGGACACTTCAAGAGCTACTAGCACCCCGGAGACTTGAGTTCTACGACGCCGAGTGGAACCAGATTGGGACGAAAGAGAGTCTAGCAGATAAGATCTGGGAGATCACGAACATCAACAAAGACTTCCTTGGCTCAGACATCTCCTTACTCAAGCAAGCGAGTATTGCTGAAAGAATGTCGTGGGCCTCGAAAAGAACGGCAAAACGGGAAGAAGACATCGCTTATAGCTTGCTCGGAATTTTCGACATCAACATGCCTCTGCTGTACGGCGAAGGCGCGAAAGCCTTCCAGAGGCTACAAGAAGAGATCGTGAAACACTCAGATGATCAGTCAATATTGGCATGGACTTCATCGCCTGCGCAAAACCACAGTGGTAAACTTTTCGCCCATTCGCCAACTGCATTTGCCGCTTGCCGCGATGTTGTGCGAAGCATACAACAAGGTCAGGTGAAGCCGTATTCCATAACAAACAAAGGCCTCAAGATCAGTCTACCACTCATCAGGGGAGACAATAAGGGCGAGTTCCTCGCGGTGCTCAATTGTAGACGCCGATATGACACATTCGGTAATTTGGCATTTCCGGTAAAGCATGGGGACAACAGTCACCAATATCAGAGGCGAGCTGGCGAGCTCCAGCTCGTTCCTTTTAGCGACGGGGTTCTTGCAAGAGTGCAGCCGATGTATATCAGCATGGGGCCGCTTGCTGACTACTCGACAAACCACCTGAAGGACAATACATCTATCTTACGCGCGCTACCGAAAGGCCTTAAAGTCTCACAGATATTTCCTCCCGGCCCATCATCTCATGAAACGCACACCTTTGAGGGCAATCGGTATCCAGACTGTCCACAAGATCCGGACAACCGGACCCTTGTGGTGTTAAGTTCGGGGACCACTCGATGCTACCTTTTCATGACGTTCTTCCACAAGAATGAGTTCTTTCAAGACTACGTCTGGGATGCCCGGCTTCTTCCTGTTCTCGTCGACGACAGCTCCGATATTGAACAGGTCTTCAATGCATGGAGCTGTGAGGATCTGTCAACTCTGCAACGAGTCCAGCATTCATCTTGTGGTAGAGTGGCTCTTCGAACTATACCACAGGTCATCAAAGGTCGAAGATATACAATCATCGAGATCATCGATTGTGGTTCAGATATTGGTATACGCCTTCGAAATATCTATGAGTCACTTCTTGTAGTCGTTCGATCTATTGGATACCGCCTATGTCGTGTCATTTACTGGACCTTTGATCTGTTGTTCAAGGGGGGCAGGCTCCGTGATCTGCCCCCAGCACTAATGCTGTTTTGCATTCCATACCTATCATCATCCCGAGATCCTGACAAGTACCAGACGCCGAGGATCTACATCATCTCTACTTTTCTAATTTTCGTTTTTGTTAGATGGAATGAACTGCGCCTATTTCAGCAGCTCCAACGAGAAGAGAAGATTGTTCTAGGTTGGCAGAATGTTCGAGAGTTCGATCCAATCATTGGCTATATTGCTGTTCTGCTAGTAGTCGTCTTTCTACCTTGTGTTCTTCTCGAACGGTATTTGGAATACGACTTTGGTGTTCCGTGGATGATTGTAGGGGCTCTGGTATCGCCGTTATTAGCTAATATCACTCGAGACTGATTTCGGTTGCATTTAGGGGAACTAATATAAGACTTAGTAGTTCTTAGCTTTACCGTAAAGCAAAGCATGAATGACCCCAATGACAAATGGAACAAATGGACTAGATAGTACCTGGATTGCAAATGCTGTGGCGTCTTGCATAGCACTATCATGCGAGATTGATTCGTTCGCCGCTATGGCAAGTGGAACAAAGTGTGCCAAGCATGTAGCTGTAGCGAAAAGACAACTGGGTCAACTTCATCTTTCTTAGCATTACCTCTATTATCTTTCTCAACACGATCTTACCCCGACATACTATATATCAGGTTTGGCCATTTTCGCGTAGCAGAGCCTGCGACTTGGCATCATTGCGCAATAATTGACAAAATTGCCAATGAGGCTGATAGGCGGGGCGGTGGTAGCTACGGTTAAAGGGCGGAGCTGTGGTAAAAGACCGAGACGGCAGCACGTGAAAACGACGAGACCTCACCGTCGGCCCTGAAGCTCTTACTACCATTACGACCCAAAAATGGTAACTCAAGTTCACCGCTAGACAAGTATTCTAGCACAGTTAATGTATTCGCATAGCTGGAAAGGTTAAGCTACGGGTGTACGAGGCTAACGCAGACTGGTCAGGCGGGCCAGCTGCAAGCGCCGGTTGTTGCTTAGCCTCGCGCCCTGCATAGCCCCGGCTGACAGCGACCATGGAGCAACAACCACATCAACATAGGAAAAGATTGGACAGCTTACCTCGGGAAAATATCCATCAACGCCAACACACCTGCTCTACATGTCTTTTACTGTAATGTAGTCTGCGGACCTGTTCAATGTTTTCCATGCATGTGGTGCAACCACGTCAACTACCTAGGTATCTCCGGTTTCTTCTGACACGCCATCAATTCCACTTCAGATCTTCTACTCGTGGTCCAGTATAGCTAGGACCGAGTAGAGCAGCATGAACAAATACGTAGGTTGGATTAAGCCTAGCATAGGCGTAGAGAAGTTGTCGGAGAGCCCTAAGCAGCACTCGGCCGTAAGAACACTTGTGCCGGACACTGTCGGGATGATAGTTTTCCGAGATGAAAGCGTCGCCAACATGATGCTGATTCATCAACAGTAGTACCAGTGCTTGCGCACCAACTTGAGGCTCATATAAGCTGGTTGCTTGTGTAGAAACGTCACTTACCAACACTCGGTCCCGCCACGACAACGCTTTCCAGAATTAGACACAGCTTCTATCATCTCGACTACACCTATGATCTCTGCTCTCAAAGTTCTTCTTCTGATGAGCAGCCTGACACTCGCGTCCGGGGCAATGGCAGAGGTAAGGGTTCAAAGCAATGCCGTGTTGGAAGAACCTCTGCTCACATGCGATCAGAATTCAACATGTCAGTTCAACATAGGTCTTGATACCGTAAGTTTACCAGAATAAAGCTCCCTCCAAGTACTGAGACGCTGATTTGCATCAGTCGGATCTTGCAAACACCAGCTATGTGCGCATGATGAAGAACGTCAAACTTCCCGTTTCGGGAACGACATACCGCTACGCCATAAACCCCCCTTTCGACAAGGAAAAACCGTACCTCTTGTTCCTTCACGGCTTCCCAGAGACTTCGTACAGTTGGGTCAACCAGATCGAATACTTTACAAGGCGCGGCTACGGTATCATAGCCCCAGACCTTCTCGGCACCGGTGGTACAGACAAGCCCGTCGAACTGGAAGCTTATAGTCTGAAGAAAATGGCATCTGAGATTGCTGAACTGCTCGACTGCGAAGGTCTTGACAAGGTGGTCGCAGTTTCGCATGACCTGTAAGTCCAATAGCCACATGCTGTCTCGTTTCCAGACCGCTAGACTAACGTGCCATAGTGGATCTTTTCTACTCTCCCGCTTTCATGCGTACCATCCTCAGTACCTCTCAGCTCTTGCATTCTTGGATATCGGCTACTACGGCCCCGGCACAGACTTCAACCAAACCTTCGTGGAGGCTTACAACAACATGTCACAAGCAACATTCGGATACCCTATTCTTGGGTACTGGTACTACTTTAACCAACCAGACGCGCACATTCTCTTGGATGCACATGTAAGTTCAACATTATGACCGAGCACGTACGCAAGCTAACAACAGTACAGTTGGATTCTGCGTACTCTCTCATGTTTTCGTCCGATACACCCAAAGTAATGGTGGAGAACTTCAACACGATTGGTGCGCTTCAAGAATGGCTATCAGCTGATAGAAGAGCGGAATTTGGCAATGCCTTCATCACCAACTCGACTCGAGAGCAATGGAAAAGTATCACTCGCGCACAGGGAGGTCTTGAGGCGGGTCTGAGATGGTACAAATCTTTCTTGCGTGGTATCAACTCGGCTGATGAGGACGGTATGACGCATCGCAGATGCCCGCTTTGTTTGACATGATCTAATGGAGCGCAGAGATTCGATCGATGTCGGGAGTCATTGAGCAGCCTAGTCTGTTCATCGCGGCCGAGAGGGATGCGGTCGGTATTCCGGCGGAGCAGTTACGTTCTATGCTGCCATACGCTCCGAGAATGCAGATTAGAACTGTTGATGCCGGCCATTTTGTTCATATTGAGCAAGCTGATGAAGTCAACGAGGTGCTCTACGACTTCATACAGAGCCTTCAATAGGTGGATGCCAAGGTAGCAATGGGATCTGCGAAAGGCTGGGGTGATTTGCTTCTCCTCCTCTTCTTCTTTGAGATGTTGTAGTCGTGAATGTTTGTCGTAATGGAAAGAGATTGTTTGGTGATCACACTTTTCCTCTCTGCGAGCACATGTACTTGCGGTCTTCATCATTCGAGAGACTCTTTGCGTTCGGGTTGCTAAGAGTTTTAAAAAATTGCGCAGCTCGGTCGCTGTGCGTCATCGCTGTATCCATGAACATCCAGCCCGTATGTGGCATCGCACTTGGGTTCGTGTCAAAGGAATGGATGGCGAGAGTAGCCTGTTTGTAGAATAACATATGTACTGAAGCAGTCCTGCTGCAATGATGACCATGTTCAAACCGTTGCTGACAGGATGGAAAGATTGCGACTATAGTTTACCCTAATGTTAGAACAGCAGGTGATCTGTTCATCATGAAGAGGTGCGATGCGCAAGAAGTCACCCCGTAAGGTAACAACTATTCCCACAGGCGTTGTCTTATAAAGACAATCTGATTCAGGAACAAGGATGGGCAAAGATTATGGTTCATTCACGACTACATGGATCGACAGTGACTGGTTGACGCGAAATTACGCGGCGATGCAAGCCTAGACATGGGTACAATGAAGCGTTTCGATAAGACAGATTCATTTCGAATACGAGTGCGTAACTAATTCCACAAACAGATCGACCCACAAGAAAAATTGCCTCAAAGAGGATTCTGAACCACAACTAGGCTACAGCTACACTTGCGGCATCGTTCTTTGCCATCACTTCCAAGTGATCACAAAGACCCCTCACCCGCTGCTCAATACCGGCATTGAAAGCTGCGGCCTTCTCGGGATCCCTCGGCGGTATACCCATGATGGGGAAGTCAAGACGAGACCTTTCACACCATTCACTCACCTTGGGCTCCGCCATCCACTTGAGTCTGTTCCTCATAGAAGCCAGAAGGGTCGTGGGATATTCTGCCGGTATGCGAGTGTACGGAAAAGGGTCGCAAAGATAGTTCTTGAACTTTTCGTCGTCGTAACTGCCTTCGACGTGTCCAACGAGAGCGGCGCTGAACGTGGGCTGGAAGAACTTGATGTTCTGGATCGTGATGTTTCTGCCATTGAAGACGGGAATGGGTGGCTCATTTCCCAAAGCGGCCGCAGCGCAGTCAATGAAGAGAGTATCAGGCACAGGAGTGTATGTGCCCTTCTCTAAAGTGACCTTGTCTGGGTCAATGCGTTTGACTCGTCCCTGGCGTATGATGTTCGTGACTTTCTTCACCTCGTCAAACTCCGCCTTGGTGACAATCGCGTGCCTAAACATGGTAGGCTCGATGCTCTTGTCCAGACGGTGAGCATGCCCGAATTCCTCCATGCGGTGAAACATCTCTTGAGATGTTTTGGACCCCATGATGGCAGCGCCCTTTTCTTCCAGCAGTTGTTCGGGGTTGGGCGTGGTCTCGGGAGGTTGAAGTGTAGCGCGTTCCAAGAACCAGGAGTCGCGCGGCATGATCCAAGAAATGTTCTTCGGGTCAATGCCTTGAGTTAAGAGAAACGAGCATGCGTCCATTCCAGTCTTCCCGGCTCCGACGATTGTATAGGCGCCGTACGGTCGCTTCAGTGTTGCTAGAGCGTTGGGCGTGACAAGGTTGACTTTGTCTGAAACTTCATACGAAGGTGGAGCCATAGAGGGGACTGTGATCTTCACGTATGTGGCGTCTACAATACGAGTGTTCGGTCCAACCCGGATGGTTTTTCCCGTGACAATCGATTGAAACTCTCCATCGCCAGTGTAGTTGTGCAGTGGGTAATAGGTAACGCGACCGGAAGGAAGGAGAGTATTGTTCAGGACCTTGGTGTAATAGGCAACAACCTCGTCGCCCGATGCCACCTCGGTAAGGCCTTTGTTGAATCCAACTTGATCGATTTTCCCATCTCCGAGATGTCGAGAGTTGACACCGTAGACGAAGGACGGTTGGTGAAGGGTGACAAAGGGGTAGGCAACTGTCCAATGACCTCCCGGACGCGAATAGCGATCGACAATGGCCACCGTGATCTCCTTCTTAGCGGCAATCAGGGCGTCAACGAAGGCCATGCCCGTAGCGCCCGCGCCGATGACGAGGTAGTCGGCGGATATAGTCTCGGTCATGTTGACGGTCATGTTGATCGATTCTGAGGTAGGTATGCAGGTCGGAAGACTCTTTCAGGAGATTGTTGGTATGTTCGAGACGAAGAGATGGATGTTTGGTGTAGCAAGAAGAGAGAAGAGAAAGCAGATTCATATACCTAGGCACATACCTTGCCCGACCGGAACGCGTGTACTGGATTCTTCAATAGGGTTCAACATACCGCTCCTTCGGCATCATTATTTCGCTGTCGATATTAACCGTAGTCCATGATATCTTGACTTGTCCTTGGATGTTTCCTGTACATTGCGGCCGAGCCTGTTGTTGTGACAAAGTTGCTCCGGTCGGTCGAAAGCTCCCGAGAAATAGCTTACGGACGTAAGCAACGGAGCCACACTATGATATTCTAGCTTGAAACTGCCATCCTGCCAAGCAGTACTTGTGGCAAGCTTACGGACGTACAGGTACCTACTCAGCCTGAAAGCAAACGCAATAGCATGAGGCCTTGCGGTCTGAGCTTCGTCATCTCGCGATTCTCCAGAATACTGTACCTATTCAGCACCATCTCCAGCACACGAAAAGGCAAGGTCTTACTGTTGGTCCTGAGATTCTTGCTATCGATTCCCTCAGGAATAGTGGCCTAGTCTAACGACAAAAGTATCATAGCCAGCGGATGTATGCCCATAGCTGGAGGTATAGAGGTTCGAAGTGGCTTAGGTGTGGGCTCGTATCGCTGCGGGTTCGGCTTCGGGTGCTTGAATTCGCGGTTCTTCTTGTCTACCAAAGCATGATGGTATACAAATCGGAGGCCGCTCGTTTGCTCTGGATTACTGCCGTAGCATGGGCAAAAAAAAAGGGCAAAAAGAAGGATGTGCAAAAACATACAACAGCGGGGATTCGCTAGTGGTCACCCACCTAACTACTAATCCGCCGGTACAATGCTTGTATATGGCTGAGCGGACGGGAAGCCTAATTCTCATTGTCCTATGGTCGTATGTGAAGGAATAGGTGATTTGGTGGTATATGAAGTTGTTGCGCTGGCCTCGAGAGCAGAACGGCGGCGAGGACGACTTGAGAGGCGCCATGGGAGGACCGCGATTGCTGGAGACAAGACCAGCACTAGGATGTGCTCAGTGAGTGGACCTGGGGACATAATGCAGCCTGTCCATGCCTGTCTCGTCGTCGGTCCTTGAAGACTCGCTGCGGTACGGCGCAGGGCGCTACCGAGGTATAGCTGTGATGGTGACGCATGCCGAGGATGGGACCAACTTGATGCTGTAAAACGGGATAGACGCAGCAGTAGCAGTGGTAGTAGTGGTAGTAGTGGTAGTAGAGCGGAGGAGCAATAGCCAAGATCCAGGTGCCTCCTTCCTCTGCTTCAGGAGTCTCGTGGAATAGCGTGCGTAGGCACGTGCGCAGGCGCGTCCACGTTCCAAGGCGCGTAAACAAGCCGATGACGTAGCGTGGCTTGGGGCCAGCCATCAACACCTGGCAAGATGGCGCATACATATCCCCGGCTGGGACTGGCCGTTGACACTTCTTTATCCTTAACTTTAACAGCGACATAATGTTTACCACCAAGGCGACCTCACTGCGAGCTCTGTCTCGCGTACCATATAGGGCCAGGTGCCCAGCAGCAAGGAGACAGTATGCGACAGACCATGAGCAGCGCACCAAGGAAACACTGAAGACATCATCGCGATTGACATGGTGAGTAATTGCTATTTCAACTCTTTGCGCGGTGCGCATTGCGTCCCCATACCAACTGGACAAGCCATACTAACTGCCTCAGGCTCACCACAACCGCGGCCGCCGGCGCTGCAGCCCTCTACTACACCACCACTCCATCTACTTCCACTGCCTCCTCCTCCTCTGCGCCTTCCACCTCTAAGGCCGCCCCACCTCCCCCGGCGTCACATGATACCAGCCGACCGGGGCACCGCCACGAATCCGAGTACGCCTCCGACGTTCCCAAGCCAGTGGAAGACCGCCACGGCGACAGCGTCACCAAACACAGCATCGCCGCGCACAAGAACCAGAACAAAGTCCGTGAGGGCAAGTTCTCGGGCAAGGAGTTTGACAATCATGAGCTGGTGCATTCGCCGGGGAAGCCTGGAGGTGACTTCGAGGTGAAGCGGTAGGATGGGAGAAGGTGATAAGGGAGGTGAGGATTGTTGAGCGAAGTACAACGGAGTCGCAAAATCACTGAGCGCACTCATGCTCTCTGTAGATGTCTTGTATCCATTCATATCCGCGTCTTCTGTCTTGAAGGGGAACAAGATATGCCGGCGACGCTGCCTTCTTCCGCATGTATCCTATATTCGGTTCGTATATACCATCGATCTAGGTCTCCCTTGAATCGCATTTCGGCATCTCTACTGCGGTCCAAGCCCTGCATCCCTCAGCTCCTTGAAGAACTTATTGGAGAAAGCCGAATCAACGAATTCCAGAAACTTGGTAACTTGCTTCCCGTCCTCCGTGAAATGCAAGATCAGCGCGTATTCATTCGCATACGGTCCGATGTCACTGTCTGCTGTGCTCGTCGCATGCATAATACATGTATGCGCATCTACATCATGGACTTCTGTGTGAACGGTGACCTACGATGATGTCAGTCGCTTGCATTCCTAAACAGAACTCTGCGTCTTACTTTGAAGTTCCTGAAATGTGGCAGCATTTGACTGAAGCGCTCGCGATATTGGGTGTTATTCTGGATTGGCCGTCCTAGGGATGCAGGAAGGACTTGTTGTGTGCAATCTTCCGTTCGATAGGCCATTGTCTTGTCCATGTTCCAAGCATTGTACCCGTCAATGACGGCTTGGGCCGTTGCTTTTTGGGCGGCGAGGGCGGACATTATGGATGCTCAGAGATGGAAGATGGCAATAGTATTGCAATGATAAGCTGCGTTGTGGTACTTGATATATACATGTCTGACTGATCATAACCTTGGAATAGGCTAGCGAGAAGCGGGCAGGTGCCCAGGTGGCGGGGGTGATAGACGAGTGGTCGTTGGCGAGTAGTAGCTACACACCCTCAAGACGCGACGATTTAGGTTTGTAAAGATGCGTCATGCGCTAGGGCGACCGTTGCACGCCGGAAGTCTCACCATACAGCGCGCATTCTGTTCCGCTGTTTACGCTGCCTCGGCTTGTGGCTGCCTTCTCACATGCCCCAATGCCTTTTCCCCCCGCCCAACGCCTTCACAGCTATTCTCACCTTATCGCACATGCGCGCCTGATTGCTGACGTTCATATGCAGGCGTGCGCAAAAAGCAAAACGCCTTTAATCTGCATGAAAGGCCCGCCGTTAGGGAAGAGCGAAGAAACGAGAAGATAATGCGCCTTTGACCCCCGGGCTGAGCATCGAGAAGACTTAGAACCGTCCCTAAGCAGATGCTCTCTTGGAAGGTCCACTACTCTCAGCATTAACTCCTCTGAGGGCTCCTTCTCTTCGTATTTCGAGATCGCAAGAGCAGTCCTGAGAAGATTCTTTATCCTACAACTGTTTAGCACGTACCTTCCGTCAGGTATTAGCAAGGCTACGTAGAGCCAATGATGATACCTTTCTGTTACTCTCATGTGCTTCTAGAATGGCTAGCATCACTGCGACGAGAAATATGCTTGTATCACGAACCTGAACGGTTGCTATGAACCTATACGGCAGCTAGAGTATGAGATAAAATACATATCGGAAGGCCAACAATGCGCATCCGTTGAACTCGACGACCAAGCCCACTGACTTTGATGCCCGCGCCACTAGCCACGTCGATTTCGGAAATGTTCCTTCGCTTTACCAGCAGGAAGACCCGTTGTTCGCTTGCTCCCCACCCAATGTCCAGCCACTTCGCAAACACCCCGATCTAGTGCTGGGATCTTCGCCCTTCCAAATACCTCGTCCGTACTCAACTTCCATGGCTGACCTCCCACATCTGAAGCCATCAGCGTCGTTGTCGGGTTTACGTAGTTCAAGAAGAAACGGTCGATCGTAATTCCGAGTGCTTTCGCGCTTACAATGTCTCCGTATATGAGCGTTGGGTAGAAGGGCTTGCCGATGTAGTATACACTGATTGAGCGCAGACCTGGAAGATAAGTGGTCGGATCGACAACCGTGTCGTTCAGCAAGCGTCTCACAAACCCCGTCGTGAGAACCATACAGTCGACAATAGTCAAAGATCTGAGGCTCACCGGCAGTACTGAGAACAAGAGTCCGTTGGCCAGCACGACGTGACTAGGTGGAAGCGCAGACTCCGGTATTATCAACGTCTGTAAGTCATCGAAATGGTAGTATATGGGCGAGATTCGTTGAGCCCGAGAGAGTGTTATACCACTCCATGATGATGGCAGCTCCAGCTTCGTGAGGCGAGAGTATTTGGCTTCGAAGACTTGGGCGAGATACTTGTGCTCTCGTAGTTGTTGCGTCGAGGGGTCATTGGTCCAGTGACGTCGCCCATCAACCTGCGGGCTCATTGGTCCTTGCCATGGGTCTGCATCCCTGAGCAACATCGGATAGTGCAACATATGACCGCCACCGAGAAGCAATTCTTCTAGGTTTGGTAGCGCCAGCAGGAGCAGAGCGAGGAAAGCATTGTTGTGACCTGCTCGGAGCGCGTCTTCCCACATCCGCTTGTTGTGGTTACTCATGTCTTCAGCGTCCCGGATAACGTTTAGACAATCTGTTCGGAAGGTAACTTCGGTCTCAATAGCGAACTGCCTCGACGGCATTCTTGACCGGCGTTGCGCATCCATGTACCGCAGAAGCCCAGCGCGCAATCTGCGCCGAAGTTCACATTCTCGGGCACTGCTCCAGGGCTTTTGTATACAGCCATCTTCGATGCCACCGTAGTTTGCTTTCCGAGCCTCGGGAGATACATAGTTTGTGATTTCAAGAGATTCGACCTTATCCGCCCATTCGTTGGCGGGGAAATCTCGGAGCGTTCGGAACAAGGCGAATGCTTTCGAAAGTGGAACGGTAAGTGCTTTGAGCTCGTGAAAGGTGGTTCGAACGACTTTGGGGAAGCGAGTGTTCGCAGCGGCGAGGGATGTTAGATTTCCGTAGGCGCTTCGGTCAAAGCGCGGCTCGACTATAAGTTGAGGGATGATTTGGAGAAGTAGTTCGTCGGGGAGGTCCCTGATGCTGGCCTTGGGAATACTGCTGGCTGTGGAGGACGACATGGCTGAAGATCAATAGTCTGCGAGCGTGCGGAGGGGTAAATTTACGAATAAAGAGTATAAACAACAGTGATCATATGAAGGAAAAGGAGAGTAAATTCATAAGCAGGTGTTAGTAGGCACCCGTCTGACTACACAAGTGCCCCTCTATGCGTTCGATTAGGATAGACATGATAGAAAGTGCGGGGCAATGGGATCGAAGCGTAACCAAACAAGGCGAGATAGGGAATGTTCAAGCAAGATTCCCTAGCCAACATGTGCTGTTGCCTGGAAGGGGGTTCCGTCTCGAGTGAAATGATCGCAAGACCGGTCTCCATATAACGGGTAACAAGTGCAATAGCCAAGAGCTTCCGGGACAGTGGACAGTAGCGGACGTAGTGTACATTAGAGAAGGCTGTCGTCCATTCCAGTATATGAAGGAGAGTCGTCAAAGAAACCGCGGGAGCTGCTATGCGCCTCTGTTGCATGACCACATGTGCATTATTGCGCTCTCAACACCTGTTGTGAGTACTACCTGTTGTGGCTTGTCATCTGTGGGCATATTCAACCTGTCGATGGTATCAATCCTGTCTCCATGCTCAGTGCTGACAAGACGGCAGACGAGTGTTGTGATGAGATCATCGAGCACACCGACACAACCGTAACAGTGACCGTACTCCAACCTCCTCGGGGGCGATATCAATGCAGCCCCGACGTAACAGGGACTTGTATGTGGTCAAGTGATGGAGGAGCAACCCCTGCGTGTATGAAACGGACGTCCACGTACTCAAAGGGCCTGAAAGGGGGCGTCTTCCCAGGAACAGATTTCTGTCACTGCCGTTGTTCATATCCTATCCAGTACGCAGTGTGACTGCACCTTGAGATACGGCATCGGACCGTGCAAGATTTAATGTGGTTCTGCGACCAGCGGCCTTGCATTCGCAACCTGCCTAGGGGCGGGTGACTGCTGACTCGGACCGATTCGATCGCTGAAGGGATCGTCCGCCAACGGTTTTCTCCGCAGCTCAGGCACGTTCTCATAGCCATTACTGGCGAGAATTCTCTGCTACGACTCGTCGAGTGACATCGTCGAACTCGGCGAGAAGAACGATGTTGCGACTACACGTTCATGTCCGGTGGAAGTCTAGCATAGTGCCCTTTGGACTACCAATTCAATAGTCAGAAGGCTCGAAGCTGAGGTTTGCGTGTAGCTCGACACGGGCATTCGAGGTGGAGCAGGCACGTGGCGTGGAGACGCGTCGGGAAATTGCTGCTGGCCCAATTCGTCCAGACAGCGCTAATCCTCCACCAGTTCGGTAAAGCCAGGGTCAAGGCACGGGTAAAATCTCCAACGGCCGTCTCGTGGTTGTAGCGCGATGTCAACAAAAGGCTGCGTCATGGAAGGTCTACCGTGCGCGTTGTGAAAGCACTAAGCTGTATTGGTCAACGCTACGCCGCTTGGGGAACATTCGGGCCGATCCAGGAAGGAGTGTGCCTGAGCGCTGGCTTCCGACGATCGGGCAAAGACACCACCGTACTTTCTGTATAACCGCGATTCAGTAGTTTGCGCGACCACATCATGGACTGCAACTTCAAATATACTTGAGTAACTGGAGACAACAAACTGCAGGTCGTCTACACTAGAAGACGCGCATACGGGCCGATCGTTCACGTTGTAACGGTGAGATGTGGCTGAGCGGACTGCAACCCACTGACAAGGAACAAAGAGCCGCTCTGAGAACGACCAATGCAGCGAGGATACCAGTGCGATGGCAGCCCTATCTAAGCTTTTCTCACTGAATGGGTCATACCAATGAGTCGCAGGAGACGTCTACGATAGTCCGCATCGAAGCCGCGAGTTCCGCGCCCTGGCAGTTCTACCCCTGATGCCGATCCCAATCGACACCAACACGATGACCTGAAGCGCACAGGTTATGACTCGGGACTGTTAGAGGCACAGCAAAATAGGAAGAGCTTTGGGAATCTGAAAGCGGCGTCGCGCATGGCGCATGCACTTGAAAGCGTCCTGATTAAGGTTCCTCTTGGTAAGGCGAACTAAATGAATTCAGGGCTGCAAATCTGGAAAAGCCACAACCGACAGTATCTATGCCAAGCTGCCAGCCTCAAGACAAGATACGGTGAGGCTGTCAAATCTGCCATACTCCAGCTAGAAATTACTCGAGCGGGGCAAAGGACCCGTGCTGGTGGTTCCCACCTTTATGGGGTCACCAACAGCGATCTACGCTCATGATACCACTTCATAATGGCCGAATGCATGGGTCACTCCAGTGGATCAACGACGGACACCCTGGAATCAGGCTTCGTCATGTCGATCGATATCCTACTGGTCTTCCTAATGCACACAACGGTGATATACCGGACATTACTGTGCTGCCACACTTGTACATGGTGTGGCGTTAGGAGAGAGACGTTGGAGTGGGTGAGTATATAAGTACTATCGGCTCCGACTTCAATAGTGGTATCATCCAGCTACAGATCCACAGTCATTCCTTTTTTACGACACTCGCTTTTTGCTCCAACTATTTTACAGTCTTTCCAACAACCCTAATTCTCCCAAGATGCGTTTCAACGTCCCCGCCATTCTTGCAGCCGCCGCTGTTGCGAACGCCGCTGTTATTCCCCAGATCCCCAAGGTTGATGGCGTCGTTGGTGGCGCCACATCTGGCGTCTCTTCCACCGTCAACGTGAGTACTCTACAAGTCGCCTTATGGTTACTCAACTGACAACTTCAACAGAAGGTTGAGGGTGTCGCAAGCCCCAAGATCAACGCCTCCATCGGTCGCCGTGTTAACGCAAAGGTCGGCACCAAGTTCGGATCCGTAGACGCCTCCGTGGACCCCAAGAAGATCAACGCCAACGTCGGTGCCCACATCACCAGGCGCCAGGTCCCTGACGTTAAGCCCATCGTTGGTGGTGCTACCTCCGGCGTCACCTCCACAGTCAACGACGTCAAGAACGTCGGTGCTTCCGCCAACGTTGAGGCTCTCGACGACACTGTCGAGGTAGAGGTCGGCAAGCGCCAGGAGCTTCCTGTCGCTGGTGACCTCGTCAACGGTGCTACCTCCAAGGTCACCTCCACTGTCGACGACGTCAAGAACATCGATGCCAAGGTCGATGCGTTCGGTGCTTCCATCGACGCATCCATCGGCAAGCGCCAGGACCTTCCCGTTGTTGGCGACCTCCCCGTTGCTGGTGGCGCTGCCGGCGACGTTACTTCCAAGGTTGGATCTACTCTCGCCGACGTCCAGAACCTGGACGTCAACGGCATCGCTGAGGGTGTCACCGCCCCCGTTGCCCCCGTCGTTGACGGTGTTGAGTCTGCTCTCAAGCCTGTTGTCGACGGTGTCGAGCAGGCTGTTGCCCCTGTCACTGGCGCTGTCTCCGGCCTTGTCACCCCCATTGTCAACGACGTCAAGGACAGCGCTCTCGGTACCGTCAACGGCGTTACCTCCAAGGTTGAGTCCACTGTTGGATCCACTGTTGACGACGTCAAGAACACCACTGGTTCCGCTTCCGCTCTTGGTCAGTCCGTTGATGCCGCTGTTGAGAAGCGCCAGGTTCCCGACGTTGCTCCCGTTGTTGGTGGTGCCACTGGTGCCGTCGAGCCCGTTGCCAACACTGCCACTGGTGCCGTTAAGCCTGCCGTCGACACCGTCAAGGGCGCTGTTGAGCCCGCTGTCAACACTGTCAAGGGCGCCGTCGACCCTGCCGTCAACGCTGTCAAGGGTGCTGTTGAGCCCGTTGTCAACACTGTCTCCGGTGTTGTCTCCCCTGTTGTCGACAACGTCAAGGGTGTAGCCGGCTCTACCGTCAAGACCGCCACCGACAAGGTCGGCTCCACCGTCGACGATGTCAAGAACATTGACGTCTCCGCCGATGTTCTCGGCGCTGCTAAGGTCGACGCCTCCCTATAAAGGCGCTGCTAAGCTATGACGGTCATGCTTCGAGCGTTACGCAATCTTTCCAGCGTCCATCAGCGAGACGCATTTGTACATATATCCTAATCTGTAGTAACATCTAATCAGAAATACCCCCCCTAACTTCGTCCATTCATCGTGAACGTGATATGTTGAGATTGATTCGTGATGGTTGTTCACACGCCGCTACTTCGCGCTGTGCTAATCACGCCCCATGAACGAAAATTTGTCACTACATCGATGCCAACTGTATGATGTCCTTTACCGCCATCAAATGACCACGTGACGAAGAGCGCATCATTTCTGTCACCCTCAGTTGAGCTCGGTGGGCCGACGAGAGTTGCCTCGTCTCTAACCACAGTTTTGCGCCATATCCAAGCTCTTAAGCCACCCAATATTTGAATCTGTGTAGTCATTGTGTTTCCGTGTCGACACATCCTACCGTATTTATTCTGGATCTTCTGCATTAAAGCTTCGTCGAGTTGCGAAGAGTGTATTACCTTGGCATTGGCTGTGCTCATGATCTGAGTGGTGGTCTGTATGTACCACGGTACATATCCTGGAGCCGAGGGTCATCCGTAGTTCAAGACACACATGCTGGGCCAGAAGATCCATCACCCAGTCTTAGCTGTGCAACGACTGAGAAACCCTTGGTATAAATTAACATGTATTTATACGCGATCTATTGCTTTAGGGCATTCTTCTCCTAATCCTAACGCCCTCTTCTTTCGCAGCAGCAGCAAATATACACCAAGCTGGGTCAACATGATGTCTCCAAATAACGCACACAAGCGACAGAAGCTTGGTCTCAAAGAGTAAGTGGCAAAGTATCTTGAGAGAAAAAGAGAGAGTATGCTGACAAAATTAATCTCAGTTTCTCAGATTCAAAGATCCTATCTGACATCACGATTCGATACGGACCTATAGGAGAGCGTATATTCGAAGCCCACAGGATAGTGCTAAGTTCGAAGTCATACTGGTTCAAGGCAGCCTTCACTGGAGGATTCGCAGTAAGTCTAGTCTCTTACGACAGAAACGCATGCCTCTACTGACGTGATAAGGAGAGTTCCGCCAGGGATATCACCCTGAAAGAAGACGACCCCGATGCTCTCAAGACTATGCGTGAGTTCGCATACGATGAGGATTCCCTCCATCCCGACGAGTTGGCAAAAGGTACTCCCATCGGTATCCGTCATGCCTTGGGGCTGTACCGCGTCGGTGACAAGTACGACTTCCCAAGATTCCGAGACTGTACCATCTCTTGTTTCAAGCTTCGCTTGGAGCACTGGCTCAGTCAACCTTCGCTTGGGGACGACGCTGCGCACAAAGACTTTTGCGATATCGTTAGAGAGGTCTATGACATTGTTGGTCCAGACAACCATACGCGTCAGAAGCTAGTGGTGGCTTTGCTGGAAACGATAGACGATGTGGACTCCACGCGCATTCTCAACAACACGGGGGGTAAGCAACGTTCGGTAGTAGAGGCGGCCCAAGAAGTAGCACCATTTGGACGAGACAGTTTCCTGCACTTGATGGCCAAGACCGGAAGTTCAGCAGTCAACGAGTTCGGCTTGGTAAGTACAACTGAGTTGTGCACGGGAATCAGGGTCGACTGCCCCAGATGTCACAGCGTTTGGTGGAGAGTGGTACTTGAGGAAGATGAAGACAGAATCGAACGGTGCGTTTGCGAAAATTGTAATCGGAATATGATTGACCTGGGAGTAAAACCGGATGAGGCAACTTGGACTGCACGTAGGTAATTTTGCTGTTAGGCTTGCATCCATGGATGGATGCGTAGCGCGGTCTTGCCTCGGCAGCGGAGATCTCCGGCACTACCGGTAGGCCACCCTGAGCTAGGTTTCAACTTTCCAATGTTTCCCCCTCGAATTGCTCTCCATGAACTTGCGATTCCACCAGCCTGCCACTTTAACGACGTTACGACCCATTGACGACCAATTTGCATCTCTCGCTCTCTTTTCTGTCTTTCCGAACTGTTAGAGATACTACGCGTGACTCCCATCTAGCTCGGAACTGTCTGCGACCAGCCATACCTAGAACACACGCCCTCGCGCAATCACGCCTCACCGCTCTCGACCTCAGCTATACAGCTCATACGAGTTATCATCGCACTCGCTCTTTACGTCGAAATAACGCACCCTCCTTAACTGCCCACCATGCCCGAAACAACCAAGGTCGTGCCCCTCACCTGCCACGGCCACTCGAGACCTGTGCCGCATATTCACTTCTCGTCCCTGGTCGACGAGGACCAGTACTACATTATATCAGCATGCAAGGATAACAACCCCATGCTCCGCGACGGAGTCACGGGTGACTGGATTGGCACCTTCCTGGGCCACAAAGGCGCCGTCTGGCAGGCGAGACTCTCCTCGGATGCCTCACTAGCAGCGACGGCCTCTGCGGATTTCTCTGCGTAAGTGCTTCTGACTCCCGCGAGCGAAGATGGTACTAATACTCCACAGCAAGGTCTGGGACACCCACACCGGTGAAGCCCTACACACTCTCTCGCACAACCACATCGTCCGCGCCGTCGCGTTCCCCAATCAGCCCCACCCCCAGATCCTCGCGACAGGAGGCATGGAGAAGAAATTGCGCATATACGATCTTTCACGTAGCGACGCGACGAGCTTCGAGATTGGCGCAGGCGTTCACACCGGAACCATCAAGTCGATCGTGTGGACATCGGACCCGAACGTCATAATCACAGCCGCCGAAGACAAGAAGGTGCGGTGGTGGGACTTACGCCAAGAGTCTACAATCGGCGAGCACGCCGTCGAAGGCACTGTTGGCTCTTGCGAGTTGGATAACACCTCCTCGGAGGGCATTCTGAGCGTAGCTGCTGGAAACAGTGCCTACTTCTTCAACAGCCAGTCGCCCGGATCGCTCATCAAAAGCATCAAGACACCATACGAAATCGCCAGCGTGGCTCTGCACAACGGGGAGCGGAAGTTTGTTACTGGTGGTAGCAACCAGAATGATACCTGGGTCAGGGTCTGGGACTTCAACGAGGAGAAGGAGCTCGAGACCAACAAGGGCCACCACGGACCTATCTGGTCGGCAAGCTTCTCGCCTGACGGAAAGCTCTACGCGACAGGCAGTGAGGATGGAACAGTCAAGCTCTGGAAGTTCACATCCGGCCCGTACGGTCTGTGGAAATAGGATTTCGCATGACCGGCGCTGCTCCTTGCCACACCTATGGCCAGATGCAACATTCCAGCACCCCCATAATAGCAAATACGAGACAAGTAGCATTTACCACTTTGGACACTTTGGACAAGCTGTTACCATCGCGATTCTTGACAATGACATGTATGGAGCAGGTGAGCAGAAGCGCTGCGAGACCATATCGTAATCGCAGCATTGGAGTTGACATTACATTCGCGCGCTATCTCAGGCTACTCCAACCAGGGTAACTGTACCCGCGGAATTATCCGATTCGACATGCCGAAGGATCAACAACACCAATGGCGTGCAGCAACATCATCCGCCTGCATATGCTACGGCCGGCCTAGGTAGCGATATGCAATGCTCAACACAACGATAAGACTGCCTTGGCAAGATAGCCGATAGCTGCGTTCACGGCCGTTGCCAAGGGTGGGAGGCCTCGAGTGATACGCTTAAGTACAGATGTCATGACCTCGCTGTCTGTATTGTATTCCCGAACTTTACTGTCGCCTGTTAGAAGTCGTTGCCAGGGTCTTCGGTTATCTCGCCTCTACACCTCTCAGGTCAATAGTTGGATCCGGACTCCAAGCACCAACAGCCGGTTCAGCAGCTGTACAGATTCAACATGGGAGAGAAAGAGGAGATCTCGCCAGCGCGCGAGCCCAGCGTTGATGAAGGGCAACTTGCTGCTGAGAAGCAGATGCGTGATATCGGCGCAGATCTGTATCTCGAAGTCCAGCAATACTCAAGAGAAGAGCTAGAAGCAGAACGCAAAGTCGTCTTGAGAAAGATCGATTGGGTCATCATGCCGATGGTACGTTCTCCTCAACTCATGTCATCAACTACGAGACAGCATAGCTAATGGAAACAGATCTGCATAACATACATGATCCAATTCCTCGACAAACTCTCCCTAAACTACGCAAACGCCTACACCCTAACCCCCGACCTCGGTCTTCAAGGCGACCGCTACGGCTGGGTCGCCGCCATCTTCAACTTCGGCTACCTCTTCTGGGCGCTCCCCGCAAACTACCTCATCCAGCGGCTCCCCGTCTCGAAATACACCGGCCTAATGATCCTCCTCTGGTCCATCCTGCTCTGCTGCCACGTCGCAGCGAAAAACTACTCCGGCATGCTAGCCCTCCGCTTCTTCCTCGGCATGTTCGAAGCCAGCATCAGTCCCGCGATTATGAACATAGTCAGCATGTTCTACCGCCGCGACGAACAGCCCGTTCGTATGTGCGTGTTCCTTGCTTTCAACGGCATGGCAACGATGGTCGGTGCGCTCCTCGGCTACGGCCTCGGCCACGCGCATTCCGCGCATATCAAAACGTGGCAACTCATCTTCCTCGTCATCGGCCTGTTGAACTTCGTCTGGGCGTGGGTGTTCCTCTGGGTTATGCCTGATAGTCCTTCCACCGCCAAGTTCCTGGACCATAAACAGCGGATTGTGGCGATTGATCGTATTGCGAGCAATATGATTGGTGTGAAGACGAAGCAGTTTCAGAAACATCAGGCGCTGGAGGCCGTGCTAGATTTCAAGGTTCTTTGTATTAGTTTGATTGGGCTGTGTTGTGGTGTTATTAACGGCGGTGTGTCGAACTTTTCGTCGAGTTTGATAAGGGGGTTCGGGTTTAGTGGCATCTATGCTACGTTGCTGCAGCTTCCGACGGGGGCTATTGAGTTTGTTGTTGTGCCGCTGTGTGGACTTGCGGCGGGTTACTTTAGGGATACAAGGTGTCTTATCCTGGCTCTGGTCTGTCTGCCACCGCTGGCTGGCTTGTTGGGGATTCGACTCACGCCGCTATCGGAACGCTGGAGCCTTGTCGGATGCACTTGGCTGCAGTACATCATTGGTGCGCCGGTTATCTTGTCCTGGAATCTGCTTACGACGAATATCGCGGGTCACACGAAGCGTAGTACCGCAAACGGCATGTGGTTCGTTTTCTACGCGGCGGGCAATATCGCAGGAGCGAACATCTTCTTCGCGAGGGAGGCGCCACGTTATTTCTCGGCCTTGACCGGGCTCATCGTTTGTTATTGCGCGATGGTGGTGATTGGAGGTGTACTGGCTCTGTGGATGGGCTGGGAGAACAAGAGGAGGGATAGGATGTATGGTCAGGGTGAAGATGATCAGGCTATCCGAGACGGGTTCAGTGACTTGACGGATAAGCAGGCGAAGCATTTTAGGTATGCGCTGTAGATTTCGTGGACGATTCAATGGAAAGATATCTATCGTTACTACGTACTTGTCTCATGAAGAGATGTTCATGTTCTCTAGATCTTTCGCAATGTCATCCCCGGTCACATCATTCTTATCCACATTACCTGACAAGTATCCAATGCCTTTGCATCCACCTTCATCATCAAACTCCACACCAATTATCTTCTTTGCTACCCACTGTGCAGTCTTGGCATGCAGACTCGGTTCCATCAGCGCATCATTCCTCTTTCCCCCATACACCTTACTTCTTCCCTCAGCGAGTGCCTGGAACACCACCAACTGGTCCCGCAGGTACTCGTCCACGCAGCCACCATGCTCGATCTCTGTTAACACATCATAGGATACCTTTTTCACGATGGTAGGGATGATCTGTTCGAGCTTCCCAGCACGGAACCCACGATCGTATAGCCAGTCGCGGCCAAGCTTCATGCCGGTGGGCGTGGTAGCTACTAGTAGGAGATAGTAACGCTTATCGTGGTGTGAATCTTCAAAAGTAGTCTCGACCCTATTATCGTGATCCCCCGTATCGCCGAAGAACCGAGATTGGCGTCTCTCAAACATGCCATCGAGTTCCTCGCGGAATTGCCGCTCAGTATCTTTGGGTGCGATGATAGTCGCCGCTACACTAACTATTTCTCCTCTGTCGAGTAATTGAAACGCTGATAGTCTCTCTTTCATAGGCGAAATTGTGTACGTGACGCTGCCAACAGTGGCACTTCCCTGCGACCAGCCCCGCGAATGGACCTGAATGCCGATGTGTGGTATGCCGACAAGCTCCAACGTTGGTATGAGTACCTGCGCGACGTAGTCGATAGATGGAGAATTGGAAACGTTGGTGCCTCCATCGATACATATACGTATAGGCGTTTGAACTCCAGAGAAGATGATGTACGGTAGGATGGCTTGGAGAACTAGATTGACACTTCCGGGGGTGCTCTGCTTGATCCGCACTTCGCCAGCATCGAGTACACTGTTGAATTGTTCGACGATCTTGGATGGGATGAAGGTGATTTCCTTGCTCTTGAGTTCTGCACCGTTGATTTTCGCATTGCTTGCTTGGCCTAGCCACTGCACACAGGTCAAATGTTGAGCTTTGAGTCCTCCGCCGCCAGACCGCTTGCCCCGGATTTTGCTGACGTGGATTGGCTTTCTGGCTAGGCTCGAGAGACCAAGGGCTACCCGTAGGAGCTGGCCTCCACCTTCGAGGGTCGTGCCGTCTAGATGGATTGGTGTCGGTGTTTGAGGTGTGGACGCCATGGCTACGAACAATGCTGCCGTACGAGTGTGCAGCTCATCGATGAGTTATGTGCAATAGTAGAACATATTCTGAGATGCATCGCTGTTGTGGCTGAGACATGGGTTGATGCCTGGTGTATGAGTGAAGATGACTCAGGCGGTCGCGCCTTCCGTCCACAGGTTCACGCCGTGAATGAGCCCTAATGCCACCCGTATGTAGCAGGTGTCTATTGAGTCATATTTGCGCCTTCTTCGTTCGAGAGTTTGAACTTCTTTGTGGAAACCTCGTCGATTTGGCGTGGGGTGAACAAGGAGACGACCTAGAGCGCGCAAAGCTGCAGCGTCCCGCGGCGATGACGTTGTGCAGTGACAAACATTCAGACAATAGACATCCATAAAAACACCGGGCATCTAGAACGTGATCATAGCAAAGACCCTTGAACGCGGGCGTGAAGTTGGTGGTGCCCTGCTTCAGGGACTCTCGGAGATCGAGCCGCGGCACGCAAGCGATCGACGCGGCGGTCCTGTCGTCATCAGCGAGGCGCCGAACTTTTGATTGACATGTCCGAAGTCGTCCACTCCCACGTCCGCACGTCCACGGCCATGTCGAATGCCTCAATAACGCCCCAATTCCATCTTCACGTCCGGTAGCTGCCTCGTCTACCCCCCGCCAGCCATGCGCGCCCCGCTGGCTTTCTCCGCAAAGGCCTGGCACGGCCCAGGCAACGGAGCCCTCTTTTCAAATATACAGTCGCGCATCTCGACGACAACACCCGCCATTGCGAGGTCCTTCGCTACGACACCGATACCGAAAGCTTCAATACCCAAGGCGTCACCCAACAGCTGCGCGCCGTCCCTCTTCGCGCGGTCATCAATCCTCCGATTCGCAGCCGCGGGCACCACACGCAACAATGGCCTACACACACCAGCTCGCATGTTCACGACATCGCGACTACTAGCCGAAGCCTCGAGCAATGCCAAGCCTGCGAAGCAGCGCATATCATATAAAGAGGAAATCAAACAAAAGGGCATCGTAGACTTGGAAGAGCACGATGGCGAGCCCGAGAACGAGGAACAAGGCTTTGCAAAGTCCGAAAAGGCGGCGCAGGCGAAACAGGTCAACTTGAGCGCCAAACTCAGCAAAGACGGGTCTGGCTCTTCGGGCGCACCAGGCGGCATGAAGGAGATCTGGAGACTGATCAAAATTGCCCGACCTGAGCTCGGCGTACTCTCCTGGGCCTTCCTGTTCCTGCTCCTTGGTTCTGGCATTTCTCTCTCGGTACCCTTCTCAATCGGCAAGATCTTGGACGCCGCTACTTCGACTGAGAACACCAATGGGCTACTCTTTGGTGTTTCTCCGTCTATCTTCTACTTTGGCCTGGCAGGTGTCTTGACGACCGGCGCTGCGTTCAACTTCGGACGTATCATCATTCTACGAATCGTTGGAGAGCGCATCGTCGCGCGTCTTCGATCGCAGCTCTACCGCAAGACCTTCGTACAAAACGCCGAATTCTTCGACGCCAACAGGGTTGGAGATCTCATCTCCCGCCTTGGTTCGGATACCATTATCGTTGGAAAGAGCATTACACAGAACTTGTCGGACGGTCTACGTGCGCTCGTTAGCGGTGCAGCTGGTTTCGCCATGATGGGTTTCGTCAGTCTGAAGCTTACCGGTATTCTCGCCCTGATCGCCCCGCCTGTCGCCCTCGTCGCCTTTTTCTCCGGTCGATCGCTACGAAACCTCAGTCGTAAAATCCAGAAGAACTTGGGAACATTGACTAAGATCGCCGAAGAGCGGTTAGGGAACGTCAGAACAAGTCAAGCTTTCGCTGGAGAGGTTCAAGAAGCATCACGATACAACCGGCAGATCAAGAGGATATTTGCTTTAGGAAAGAAGGAAGCCGTGGTTGCCGCGAGCTTTTACGGAAGTACTGGACTAATGGGCAACCTGACCATCATCTCCATCCTGTACGTTGGTAGTAACATGGTCAAGAACGGCGTCATCTCTATCGGTGAGCTCTCCTCGTTCTTGATGTACACCGTCTATGCTGGTTCTAGTATGGTTGGTCTTTCCGGCTTCTACGGGGAGATGATGAAGGGTGTTGGAGCTGCCAGTCGTCTCTTTGAACTCCAGGATCGCAACCCAACAATATCGCCCACCAAGGGTCTTCCAGTGAAGTCGGCTCGAGGCCCCATCGAATTCAAGAACGTCAACTTCAGCTACCCGACCAGACCAGCGGTGACCATCTTCAAGGACCTCAGCTTCAGGATTGAGCAGGGTACCAATGTGGCCATCGTTGCACCCAGTGGAGCTGGCAAGTCTACAGTCGCTAGTCTCCTTCTGCGTTTCTACGTCCCCAACTCTGGAACCGTAACCATCGACGGCCGAGACATTACCACCTTGAACGCAAAGCAATTGAGGAGGAAGATCGGTTACGTCGGTCAAGAGCCCGTACTCTTCTCTGGCACAATCGCGGAGAACATTGCATATGGCGTACCCAATGCTACACGCGCTGAGATCGTGGCTGCTGCCCGAAAGGCCAACTGCCAGTTCATCAGCGATTTCGTATGTACAACCCCTATCTTATGGGAGCCCCGCTAACAAGTACAGCCTGATGGCCTTGAAACACACGCTGGCGCAAGAGGAACTCAACTCTCCGGAGGCCAGAAGCAACGTATTGCCATCGCACGAGCACTCATCAAGAAGCCCGACATCCTTATCCTCGACGAAGCCACGAGTGCTCTGGACGCCGAGTCCGAAACTCTTGTGAACCAAGCGCTTAACAAGCTTCTCCAAGAAAACAACACAACTATCAGCATCGCCCATCGCCTATCAACGATCAAACGGTCCGACCGTATTATCTGCATCGACTCTGAAGGTAGGGTAGCCGAGGAAGGCACCTACGAACAGCTCAGCTCCAACCCAGAGGGCGCATTCAACAAACTCATGGAATGGCAGATGAGCGGTGGTGATGTGCCTGCTAAGGACGTCAAGGCCCCAAAGCCTACAGAAGAAGAGGAGGTCGAGCGAGAGCTTGATGAGGAGAAGGAAGAAGCTGCTGGCCGCAACCGTGTCTAGTGAAGCTGCATCTTTATTTGTATCATATTCAATGGCAGTCGTGGCGATTTTGCGCGACTCTCCTGCTTCCTTCATGGAAGCAACGGTGGGCAAGCCCGCCACCAACAATGAACCTCCATACAGCACCCAGGTTGCTGCACGCTTGGGCCCAGACACGTATTCCAAAGCAGAATGCGCTCCGCAGGGAGACTAGAGAGTGATCGCCCTCTCGCATGGCGCTATTTAAGTGGTACTATTTGATCACATAAGAACTTATACGATCACGCTCCTATATTGCCATAGCCTAGGATATAGTTCACGTTCTGACGACCCAAGCATGTGAGGCTTGCAGCTATAATCAAACCATCATTCTCCTCTCAATATCACTCTACACTCTGCAAAACATGTCGGGACGCTTCACTAGCTCCTTTAGCACCCTGATCGCACCCTGCATGTCATCACATAATCAGGTACGACACCACTCATAGCACGCACCACAACCTGATACATGAGCGGCTACCAATCAAAGCTCTACTGGACACACTAGCGTACCGAACAGGCAATCTCCCCGTACATCGTGAGGTAACGCGATGGTGACGTCATGCAAACCGCGCAGTCTAGACCCTCCACACCTAACGCGCGCTGACGCGATGTATGCTGTGATGCAAAAGCAACGTGCCATATAATCCCCATCTCACTCGACCCAAAAACCCACCCATCCCAAACCAATTCCTCCCTAATGCTCAACACCACATCCCGTCTTCTCCGCCTCTCCACATCCACACTCACAAAGCGAAGCCCAGTCCCCATCGCCAAATCCTTCAGCACAACCACCCCCCGCCTCTACGCCGCCAAAATGGAAGCTTTCAAGAAAGTCGGCAACCGCGAGAACGCGCCGCCCAAACACGAAATGGTGCATTTCCCCGGCCTCATGTCCGAAAAACGCAGCTTCGGCGACTTCCGCACCGTCCTGCACACAGGCCTCTACTCGCAAATCGTCGCCATGGAAGTCCCCGTCAACGGCGAGATCGGCGACGAAGTCCATCTCGTCGACCAGATCTTGCTTTTCACATCCGGTAAAGGGCTGGCGACGGTGAATGGCAAGGACCAGGAGGTTAAGGCTGGTGATGTTGTTGTTGTGCCGGCTGGGACGCAGCATCAGTTTGTTACCAAGGGGGATCAGCCGCTTGAGTTGATTACGGTTTATGCGCCTGCGGAGCATTTGCCGAGTAGTGTGCATAAGACTAAGGAGGAGGGGGATAAGGCGGAGGAGGATGAGGTTGATGAGGCGCCTGAGTGGGCGTTGAGGGGGAAGGGGGAGAATGAGAAGGAGGGGTTGGTGAAGGAGAGTGGGAAATATTAGATGGGAAGGCTGTGTAGTCTTAATGATAAGCGTGTTCTATGAGGCTGAAAGGTTGTGCGTTGTTTGTTGGTGTAAGAGATCGTGAGCTGGGGTACGTCCTCATACGACTCATCCGCGAGGAGATACTCTACGAAACAGAGAAGTATCGCATCTCCAAGAACCCCAGGGGTACGTCCATAACTAGAAATCGCGTAGGAGGTTAGACCTCAACCCATTCCGTAAGCTGTTCCTTGCGAACCTTGTGTCGCAAGAGCCTCTTCTCTTTCCCCTCTCCATCAAAGACCGCGGGTACGATTTGTATGTCAGACTCGCTGCCAAACTTCATCGTAGTCTCCCATGCCTTCCCTTGTTTGAGCTCCCCAATATCGTCCGCAATCTTGAGAGCCTTATACTGAACACCGTCACCCAAAGTATCGCCACAGTCCCGGCTTGATTGTGGGAGCTTGATGCGACCGCATCCAAGCTCATTTTCTGGATTGAAGTTACACACCAACCACGGCGCTCCTGCTCTTCCATTCTCCTCGATAGCGACGACGAGGACGAAATCAGAGTCATCAGTCCAGGATAGCTGCTTTTCGTTGTTTTTGGCCCTTCTCTTGTCACTTTCCACGTCACAATCCTTGAGACGGAACACCCGGCCCATTTGCATAAACACAAAGCCTGTGGCGTCGTTGCCTCTGGACTCGTTCTTGACACTAGATTGATCTGGCTCAATATCCTTGGGCTGGGCTCCTGCGGTCTCGGCATCGGATGCTGCCTTCCATATGTTGATGCCAATTATGTTTCTGAGTTCCGGCCACTCGCGCTCATCGCCCCAGTCCACGTCATCATCCTCGTACTTCAGCTGGTCAAAGCAATCGGGTACCAGGCAGAAGTGGTAGTCGCAATGCATTCCCAGTCGGAGTGCGCCATTTTCGATCCCGTGTAGTGCGCGATAGACCTTTTCGCGCGATACTTCATTAAGAAAATCGGTCTCTTGGATCGCTTTGATGAGTTCGGCGGCGGTTGGACGTGGTTGGGTTTGGCGAATGGGTTCTGTTTCTTCCGCCTCTTGCCTCACTTGCTTGAGCCTCCATTCGTGGTATCTGCTCATGTCTGCTAAGTCGGGAAGCAGTTGTTTTATGTCTCGGGGTTGGCGATCAGAGCCGTCGTTGTTGGAGCTAGGATAGCTAGCTTGCGACATGCCGCTAGCCATGAGTTCTGCAAATATCCTCTCGCAATCGGCGTCGGTTAGAGTTGACATGGTATCTTTGCGTTTGTTTGTTTGAATTTGAGTGAGAAAGAAAGAATGAGAGAGAGGTCAAGTTCAATTTTGCTGTGTGAAAAGTGAACTTTGTTACGTGTAAAAGCTCTTCGGTTGAACCATGGTACCATCAGTGAGTCACATCGTCTATGATCCAAACTTTGAACCCTTTGCAGATTGAAAAAGACACAGGTCTCTTCCCTCTCAAATAGTGATACTCGATGTGTTCTTACCGCGATTCTATGCTCGTGAAGATGGACTTGGCTTGTTCAGCCAGTGTATGTTTCGCGTAGTGATATTTATGTAGTAGCCTCATCCTGAAGATTAGGCCCACGACTTTCCATAACATCTAAACTTGATACGAATGCTACTGCATCGAACTTGAATGCAATAATTAGTTGACCACGGTGGACAACAACAGCTTAAGGAGAGTGGGAAGTATTACCTGGGTAGATGGGAAGTTTAGCAGACTTGGTAGATCGCGATAACGCATACTTGAATTAATTGTTGACTGTTAATCAGGGTCGTGCTACAAACTTCCTCATATTGGTTCACGGCGGTCTCGGTTGAATGCCTCACTATCGTGGTTTTGTTTAATACTTCATCCAGGTACGATGATCGTTCTCCGCAGCGATTCAATTCGTTCGTCTAGACAATGCTGTCCAAGCATATAGTTCAGCTCGTATCTTAGAGGTCGAAGTAGTGTTTCGTGTCCACACGATGATGTAGGCCGTGCTGTATACCTTTTGGACAGCAACCTTAAAGCCAACTTAGACGACATTGTAATCCTCTTGAAGCCCAAATGGTCTTCACACGAGTGGTTCCTCAATTAACGCTATGCCTCACTGCCCAAACGGGGGTCGAAGAGCGACTGCTACCGAAGCTGTCACTGTTCGTTATGACGAGGCATCGTAGGATACCCGTGTTCATAGTTTGCTACCATATTTGCGCGTAATCTGTGATTCATACGACAACAAGTCATTCTGTCTGTACACACAGTCAGTGTCGCAAATACATGACAGTCACGTTGCGCTTTGGGGTGCTTGTGAGAGCAGTTGCGCGGTCCTCGTGAGCTTGTATGGCGCAATGTAGCAATCACGTCGGTCAGGTTATTAACCACCCTTTTTGACGTGGAATCCTCACTCACGCACCATCGACTCCAAAGTTAACCCAAGACAATCCAGATTTCTCCCTGATACCTCTACCGATCACGATGTCTGCACCCTCCAAGACCTTTCCGCTAAATGATCTCCCTACCATGGCCTTCGACGGCTCGGGCAAAACCGACACAGTCCGGGAGAGATATTGCTCAATGCTCAGAGAAATTGCGGCGGTGGCCGGCCAAATAGAGTTCACGATTGGTGAGCACTATCACCATTACTCACCCAGCGTCCGTACTCTCGTTGATGAGTTCCTGAGCTCAGCATGGGGGCAAATCATCCACGTATGCGAAAGACCGTTCGCTGTGATAGAGTCAGGGCTTGAGGCAAACCACCAAGCAGTGCTCAACCAGCAGTTTCGGCATGCCGGCGGAGCAAGTTCCCAGGTTTTCGCAGGCCTCATCAATCGCCCACCTGCCAAGGACGGGAAGAAGGCCAAAGCCAACGCTACTGTTAGGGAGATCATCGTCTTAGTAAGGAAATGCATTGAACGAGCGAAGCTGGCATGCCGTACTTTGTTCTGGACGTTGACAATTCCTGGATCGGGCTGGGATCCACTCACGCGCCAGCTGGAGGAATCTCTGAACGCATTCAACACTATACCTACAGCCCCGAGCCGAGGAATACTCATCGAGATAGCCCTTCGGAGGAGCATGGGAAAGAACGTGCTAAACGCAAACAACAAAGTCGTGAAGAGGATACCAAACCAAGTCGCAAAGCAAAACATCGAAGCCTGGAAAACCTCAGATCGTGTTTCACAAGATCTCCGCCTCGTGTTCCACACAAAGCAGAACGGAGCACTATTTGACGGACTGGAGCGCACCACCACCGAGCAAGCAGACGGCACCATCAGTATAACGTACGATGGAAAATTCATCAATTATCATTATGCCGGCACACCCACGATGCACTTCATCTGCGCCCACAACTGGTACGTCCCTGAGAATCTTGCCAACGCTGATACGATGCGAGATTGGATAGTCGGCTCAACGCGGCCCAAATGTCGTTTGTTCGCCCATGCCAACGAGATTTACACAATGTTAAGGGAGGAACATCTGGGAACCGCGCATATGAACGCCGTGGGAAGCGCCCGTCGGCGACTCGAACCTATTGAGACCGCAGTGGTCACAAGATTCGAGGCAGACCACCGACGGGTGCACCAAAAAGAGGATTTTCCACTGATTCGTCCAGTTGTGATAACGGACTTCCACGGCAACCCCTCCAATATGAGCCTGGTCGGACGCACTAAAGACTACGGCATCAGTATCTCTAGGAGTCTGAAGCCGACATTGTGTTGTTTTGCATGCCGATGTATTTATGGCTATAGATCCTTGTTCACCCCAATCGATCAGGAGACACAGAAGCGGGAGTTCATCAGCTTTGACTGGAAGGACCGCATCATCGAGCATTGTTGTGCGGAAAGCGCAGCGTCGATGCAGTGTGCTCTTTACAACACTGCACGTAACGGAATGGCGCATCAGTAGCTTGGCGATGTTCTTTCGGCAAAGCTACCTACAAAGACACCTCGCGCTTGTCTCTTGCTCCCTTTCACGGTTCCTCTCGCCCTGCACTCGGGCGTGGCGAATACTTCCTGCGTTTCCATGGCGTACACATGATCTCTATCGTTTTTGTTTGTTTTTCTGGAGTCTTCTCTTTTTAGGGCAATGTAAACACTTGAGGTACCGAGAGTGTTTCTTTGCATCGCCTTTCCTAGCACTGGTTGTCGTCATACGACTATTTCGATCGTCGTTGGTCCTTGGGCGGGATTACTTAGGTTCTCTTCTCTCCTTGGCTTGTCTCTCCTCACACTCTTTACATTGGAATTGCTTGCGAGTAGTTGGATAGTAGGATACTTATACTACCATCTACAAATGACCGATTCCATCCATGCGACGACGTGACTTTGCTCTGTGTTTGTTGATCGTTTGAGACATGCCCAGGTGGACATGACCCCGGGAAAATCAGCTTGTGTTCTTTCAAGAGATGTCGATGTATGAGGCTGATTCTAGGGCTTCGACAAGATGTCCCTGGCTAAAAACACGATTCAAAACTGAGTATCGGAGTATCAAGTAGCTTGAAGGTGGATTACAGATGTTGAGCAGCAGCAGTACTGGTAGTGACTCACATGTATATTACGCAATCTTGGAGATACCCTTATGGTAGGACTGTGCAGATAATGCGCAGTCGATCAAAAACCCAAGCAATCGACTGAATGACCTGTTGGTCATGATAGCTACATGTGTGCGATGCCATATCCTGGTTGCCATCCACTTCGCCCAGTGCCCAGGTGGCACTGCGATGACGCAATGCGCAACGAGCCATCCCGACCTCGGGACTTGTGTAACGCAAACTAACTAGACAGCAGAGCTCTTCCACAAATAAGAGGAGTTCCAACTACGATAGACATTAATATTGTGGGATGCGCTGGCTGAAGAGAGATCGCGTGAGCTAAGAAGCGAGGCACTGGGTCAAGAAGATTTTGTTCTACATTCTGTGTGTAAGACGGCCTGATATGATATCGCTAGGCGCCGTCACATACATCTACGGCGGTTTACATTTTAAGGAAATCTAATAACGGCGGCGATGGATACAAAAGAGTGACTGTCCTGAACGCGAGAGAAGATACAGATCCGTTCTAGGGCACATAGTAAAGATGACTAGAAAAGGCTACGCGATCCTGTCCGCACACTCGTTGCCATCGCGTTCGGAGAACGGCCCGATACTTAAGATTCCGGCTTCTCTAACCACTGCGGATGACGTCAGGGACCTTCTGCCGAAAGATATTGCCTGTGGTGGAAAGCGTGGAGAAAACCGCGGCGACGATCTGGGCCTCGGATTCCGTCCCGAACTGCGTTGTCATACACCACGGCTTCTTGTCCTCGAGATCGCTCATTTTATCTCCAAGCTTCACAGCCAAACGCTGAGTTTTGTCTCCTAGAAGAGTTCCCCAGAATCTACCTGTTCGCGGGATACGGACCCTGTCGCCTTCGATCTCAGATTCAGGCTTGAAATTGAAGATCAGCCATGGCGCGCCAGGCGTTCCGTCCCGTTCGATAGCCACGACGAGGACAAAACCGGAATCGCTCCAGGGCATCTGTACAGGGTTGTGGGACAATTTGTTGTAGGTCTCTCTCGACTCGTGTGAGAGGTAATCAACCCTGCCCAGCTGCATGAACGTGAAACCGGTATCATCATTGCCAGTGGATGAATTGCTGGAAGCGGATTCGTCTGAATCGTTATTCTTGCGCCGGTTGTTACTCTGAGGGCTTGTCTTGGTCAGGTTGATACCGAGTATAGATCCAGGTAGGATGTCGCGCGGGTCCATCCCGTCGATGTCGTAATCTTCGGGGACTAGCTGTAAGAGATCCATCCTCAGACAGTAGTGATAGTTGAGATGCGTTCCCAGGCCGATGTATGAGCGTAGGTCGGTACTCAACATGTCACAAAGAGTCGTACGGGAGTCCTCGGAAAGAAAGTTTGTCTTTTCAATGGTCTTGATGAGGTCGGCGGCGCTTGCAGGTTCAGGGAGTTGTCGATTGAGATTGCACTGCTTTTGGCTCCAGTCTTGAAATCTCCGTAGATTGTCCAGGTTGGGGAGTAACTGGCGCATGAGAAGCTGGCAATCTTCCTCGACATCTGGATTGTCCGTACGGAAAGAGCCGTCGTTGTTGTGGTAGCCGCTTGTCGAACGTTCTATCAGCCGTGCTGAAATCCTCTCGCAATCGGCGTCAGTGAGAAGTGACATGGTTAGATAGATCCCGGGAGTGAAGTTGAGTTGAGAAAGGTAGTACAGGGTATCGTGGATGCGACTTGGGTATGCTTAGTTTGCCAGCTGTTCGCACAAATGCTCGCGGTGACGGGTGCTTCTGATGTTGCTAGTCTCTAGCAAACGCTTGGTAGCTACCTAGCTAGACAAAATCACCAAGCGAGTGAGTGTGAGTCAACACGCAAACGACTTGGCTCAATCGTTCGGTAGCTAAACACAATCAGCGCACGCATAGCGCAAGCAGCAATCCCCGACCACGGTCTCTTCGGGGCCACAACCAGTTGTACAGAAGACCCTGTCAAGTGCGCTGCACGGAGCAATCTTTTTTTTTCAGTCGTGCTTAACGCTGAATGAACCCTAGAAGAAGGTACCAAGCCTGAGCTCGATTTCCTATTGGCGTGAGGCATTGGAAATGCGATCATGCATTCATTATTCGCTACCGTGGGTGTAAATGGAGCAAACCACTTTAGATGAACAGCCTAGCAAACCACCATTACTAGATGTTTATTTTCTAATGTACAGAAGGTTCTTTTGCGAGAAGACCTCTTAGGATTGAGCGCGAAAGATAGAAAAGTGGAAATGCGGAAGTTCGGAAAGTGGGGGAGAGGTTTGAACACGCTGCTGGACACGCAGCGCGATCGTCAGCTCTATCTCATCGGTATCGAAGGGACATGCGCTGCCCATTGTGAATCGGTCATAAACTCACCGTGATATTCCATCGCGACTTTGCTTTCCGGGTGGTGTATGGGTTTTCGTCATGATGCAGCTGAGTTAGTCACGCATTACTACAAGTGGTAAGAAGGATTCTCAGTGATCTCACAAACCTCCACATCAGAGCGACGAATGGAACAATGCCCGAATTCAGGGTCGTGACAGTTGCATCACAGATCTGCAATTGAGACTCGAGGCGTGTGGGGCCGCTAAGAGAGCGTTTTCAACGTTCTTCCACCATGGCGGAACACGATAGTGACGCGGACCCTGCGCGCGTTCGCGGTGGTGGACGGTGGTCTGTCAGCCTTGCCGTGGCGTAGTATGACATGTTTAGAGGCAGTCTAGATTAGAATACGGGTGTAAGTATTATGCATATCCTGACATTGGGCGAACTCAAGTCTTGGTGCGGTAAGTTTTCGTGTGGCGTTGCAACGACGTAATAGCGCTGCAATACCCCGATCGCGACATTTTCGCGAAGGTACTGGATGCACTCAAGATGAGGGGAAACATGGCAGGATTAGTGTCTTCAGAGAGGAACAGCGGCCGGAGTCACGATAGGTAGCTCGCGGGGTCGGGCTCTGAGCCGAAGTTTGGTTATCAGATGCGATAACCGCCGAGAGACCGAGGACCGGGCGGCGTGACAATGGCATGTTACAGAATTTGCGCGACTATGTGCCGAGAAGGCCTGCGCTTCAGCTCGTGGTGATTGCGGTGAAGGCTGGTGGTGTAATATAACACGTTCGGTGAGCACCATGATCAGGAGATGGGGCTGATGCCGTGGGCGCAGCCAAGATAGTCGCAGGATGGTTTGATCTAGGTCTATATCGGATAAAGTAGGACATGACAAGTGGGAATACGAGCGGTTTCGGCGATGGGGCGCTGACAAGCGTCATTCGGCAGAAGTGGGCGTTCGGGATGCTCATCTCAGCCTTGAAGGCGTCGTTGATCGGCAGTAGGAAAAGCGTCCGGGCGCGGCCTCTGTCGAACATTTGTCCATCACCACCAGACCTCACCTCATGCCCACGCCCTCTGCCACGGCTAGAATCCGCCCAATACGAATTTCTTCACAGTTACTGTCCACCGTGTCAACGATCTCGGGAATTCGCACGCGGCTGCCACTCGGTCGTGTTCGTTTGCCAGCCAGTCGAGGTGAGTGATGCCACGATCTGATAAGAAATTCGGTTGCATCGAAGCATCAGATAACCACCACCATCCCCCACATGCTCTGCGGTCGCACATCTCCGTCGTCCGCGGTTCAACAAACAAGTGCGCCATGCACACCCGCACCGCGCCTTGCTGTTGCATTGAATTCCCCATGGCCATACCAAGTCAGTTCTTGCTAATCATGGTCCGCGCTAGCAGTCCCCTTTGTCGCGTCCCCGGCAGCACGCCCATCGCTCCTTCACCTCACTCCACGCAGGCACATGGCAACCTCGACAGCGACCATGCCCAGCCCCATTCCTACCACGGCGACCTCCCACCCTGACGACCCAATTCCTGCCGAGCCAAAGGATATCCCACAGCTCTCACTCCGGCCCTCGCCGGCACAGTCGCAGCCGGAGCAGACGTCCCCCAAATCTTCAGGCGAGTCCACACTATGGACCACCAGCAGCGATGAGTCTGAGGCGCCCATGACGCCCATGACGGAGCCCGATCCGGGCGTTGAGGAAGTAGTCGATAAACTACAGGAACTGCCTACCTCGGCTGTCAATTTCTCTGGGCAGACGCGTCCTCGCCGCGCATCCACCACGCTCATTTCGGACAACCCAAATGACATCAGACGGATACTGGGCGAGGGTGAGACGGCCACCAAGCTCATCAGCCAGTGCTGCGGTGGAGGATGCTGTCTGCTCAAGACACTGGCCCCGGACGCGTCGTCGCCCAACTTCATACCCGTCGTCGTCCCCGACAACCATGCCTTCCGGAGCCTCAACCTGCAGCTAGGCCCGCTCGGCCTCGACAGCGAGCTCACCGACACAATTCCGCTCCCTCCCGCCAACATGTCCT